GGATTGGGGATTTGGGAGTGAGGGTTCGGAATTTAGGATATAGTGTTCAAGTTGAGGATTTAGGGTTTAGGGTTTCGGGGTTTTCACAGTGGGCTTCCAGAAGGAATAGGGAGTCCCTTATTTCGGGCCCTTAGAATGGGGACACCATGTTTTAAGTTTAGGATTCTATCTTCGGGCTTCCGAGTTTCTGAAACTCGCGCAGCGGTTTTGGGGTTCCGGGTCGGGGGTTAAATGCATCACTGCGTCGTGCATCGTAGTGCATCGCCGACCCTGCTGTAAGAAGGGTTGGAGGATCGAGGCTGTCATCTAATCTGAGGTAGCACCCCAAAACCCCAAACCCAAGGACAGGGTTTAGGGTTTAGGGTAACTGGGGTAGCCGTGTGGCACGAGTCCACAGCACAGTCGGCGCCTCGGTTCCTGGCATATGCATAGTCCAGGTGTAAAAAAGGTAGTGCGGGTTTGATCTGAGTTAGTACCCTAAACCCTAGAGTTGGGAGAGCATAAATCCAAGCAGTACAGTAGGGTACTTCGTACTTCTGCGGGAGCCTTCTGGCCAACTATCTGAAACACACCGGTTTGCTTCTAGCCAGATTCTTTTGACGAGATGTTCGGGATTCATTCTTGGATCGATGCTTTCAGAAGGTGTGATCTTCTAAACAAACCGAAGCATCTATAAAGGCTATACCACCCTATGGGATTCGTCTCTGGCTTTGGCTTGGGCGGTTTTTGATACTGTGCGGTTGCCCTGGCGATCCTGAGCCGTGAGTGCGGCCCTGCTGAGATTCCTTCCTGGGAACGCAACGAAGAGAAGGACGTCGACGAGCTTGCCAGGACCTAAATCTGCGGAGTGTTCCGACGGACCTTAGGAGGAATTAATTTCCATTTTTACTATATGTCGTAGACCGATTGCCAATTGAACATGCGATTTGTTATGTTTCTTCGGTCTAAGAGGCTTATAGCGTGGGTTTCGGGTTGACAGGTCGGCCACTGTAACACTACAACCCAAACTCTAAATCCCCAAAAAAGGCCTAAGCTGCAGTTTAGGCTTGTTACACATACGCCTTGTATGCCAAGGTCCCAAAGAGATCCTCAGGTGTATGAGCCTAAACGATGGCTTCAGCAGGGCTAGCGTTGACTTTCCGAAATGAAAGAGAATCTTTAGCAAAACCGAAAGAGTTGCCGAAATGGACCCCTACACGACAGGCATCAAGCTGGTGCTCTTGCTGAAGATGGTTGAACTTGATGAAAGGAGCCCCAAGGCGCCCTTCGTGCTGGATCCTGAGGTAAAGCCCAAGCCAGCTCGCAGATTCAAAGCGGTGGACTTGTGAAACTTGGACGCGGATCCAGAGATCATGAGAGGCTTTCCTGGAGTGCTCGCTGTCTTCCTTTACAAGGATGCAGTGTGAACAGCTTGCTGCCCCCGAATTTTGCTGCAGCAGTTTGGTTGTGGTTGGACCGCTTCGTGCGAATCTGCGCGAGTCGAAACCCTAAACTCTAAACCCTAAGCCCTAAACAATGCGGGCTTCGTCCTAGCTAGGTGAGAGGGATAAAAGCCTAAACAGTATCCACTAAACACCAACACCCAAGCCAGGGCTCAAGTTTTCAGAGACAAGGCGAACAGTGTGATCCGACTTTGGGATGCACCCAAGACGCCAGAGCCTCCAGCAACACTTGGTTAAATGAAGATACTACCTGTTACTACCTTCAACTATATTAAAGATCCCTCTATAATTCAGCCTTATACGCTGAACCCTACACCCGTACGTAAGGGGCCCTAAATCCTAAAACCTAAACCGTTACTCAAGAGGCAATTAGCTACAGACCTTAAGCCCTAAAACGTGTCTGAGGGAGGAGCCTAAGTTTCAGGAGCTAGACCCTGAGCAGTGAACGAGCACATGCTACACTGAGGCTCAGAAGATTCAGGGCCCACGATGTGGGGCCCAGCTAGTTACCAATACTGTTCTGGAGTTCCTTGTTATTGTTCTTGTTCCTGTTCTTTGTTCTGTATTTTTTGCTGTCTGCGCGATGAGTATTTTAGTACAATATACCCAAACACCCATTCCAATTATCGAGGCTTCTACATTTTCCTCGGGTTGAGCCTCCAGGGGTTTGGGTTTAGGCTTTAGGTTTTGGTTTAGGGTTCAGTGCTGAGGGTTTAGGGTTTAGGGTTCGGAGTGGGTCGTAGACTGCCTAGACTTGAGTCCAGTGGCAAAAAGGGTTCGGAGTTTGGAGTTCAGGGTTAGTAGCGTTAAGTTTAGGGCCTAGAATTTAGGGCCGAACCCAATTCTGGATCGAAAACCTAAACTCGTATCCATGAAAGCCTGAACAATCCCTGAACACTATATAAACCCTGCACCCCATAATCCCTAAAAACGTAAACCCCATATTCCCCAAACCCTAAACCGCATAAGCCCTACGTCCTATAATCCCCAAAGCAACCCAGGTTCAAATGATTCAGGAGTTTGAGATGACATAGTCAGGAAACCCCATCATGTTCTGTATTTCCTTTACTTGCGAACTCAAACTAAGGAAGAGCCCAGACACCCCAAACCCTAACCCCCATAATCCGTAAGCGCTAAACACTGTAGTCTCTAAGCCCCGAACCCCAAACCGAGGTTCAAAGGATTCAAGACCGGAGCTCCTCCACCATGGACGCCGACGATCGCTTCCGGCATCTGCAGAAGAAGGCTTCGGCGGTTGGCGGTGTCTTTGGGGGCTTTTTGGTCTAGGGTGGGGGGTTTAGGCTTTAAGGGGGTCCAGGGCTTATTACACCCAAAGTCCGTGCTGAAAAAGGGTTTGGGTTTCGGGGTCGTAGCACTCGTAGGGGTTCCGGCTTGGGGTTGTGGGTTCAGGGGTTTAAGCGGGTCGTAGGGCATTAGTTCTTTCGTTTTGAGGGCCTGTAGGAATCAGGATGTTATTGTGGGTTCGGGCTTTAGTGTTTGAGTCTTGGACCTTTGTGTCTGATGGTTGTCATTGCGTAGATGACGATTCCCATCCTGGCTCGAATCTACCTTGGCTACATGCTGCAGTGGATGAAGGAAATGCTGGTGGAAATCTTGCACCACCAACATATACATATTCTGATTCGGTTACGCCTCCCAGCAATGACACCACACACCTGTTTTATAATGGACGACGGGTTAGGGGTCGGTGCAAGATTCACGTCATTGGAACGATTTTGCAAAGCCCCGAGTTCATAACAATGTTAGCAGGGGGGGGCGCGGGCTGAAGCTAATTGACTGGAAAGCGGTGCAAGATTTCCTCCATCCACGGTATCGCTGGAAGCTTGTTGCCGAAACTTGAGCCAGCTCTCGTGTTTGCGTTCGGGCATATGAGGTTCCGGGATGGACTTGTTGGGATTATGTAGTCTATGTTCCTAATGTTTAGTATCCAACGGCCAAGGGTGGGTGGGCAGAGACTCGATACCAGAGTAGTGAGCTTGACTGGTGAATCTTCCAACTGGAGGTGCTGAACCTAAACCCGAAAGCCCTAAGCCCTAAACCTTGTTGTCTTTACCGACTGTGCAGAGCAGCCACGACCCTGAGCACAAATTTGAGCGCCAACTAGTTTTTGGGTCCCTCAAGTGCCGACATCTCTGAACTCTTGAAGCCTAACCCTAAAGCCTAAACTGGAGCTTTAATCTTTCCAGATGACTGAGTTCGAGGTTGGGAGCACACCCCTGTCCAGCGTTATAAAGCCCTGTACAACCTCAACGTCCTGGCTTCGCAGATTGGCTGCAAGCTTCGGCGAGGCTTCCTCACGCAACAGGTGCCCCCTCCCCCCTCCGCAGCAGCTCGTAGATCTGGGCAAAGGTTCCTGTGAGATCCATAAGACTTACATACGGGTTGCTTTAAGGATGCTATGAGAGTTCTTTTCATGGCACCGCTCTATAATCTTCATGGATGTTGGTGCCTCGGGCTTGGGTTTGGGACACCGCTTGCCAGAAGCCATTGGAGGGTCAGTTGCTCGTTCGCCAACCTCACTTGTGAAGCCCTTGAATAGACTAATGATTACCGCATTCATTCTTTCTTAGCCTACTACATTACAATATGACTATATAGATTGCAGCATACTGTAGCCCTATTCTACTTCTTAGGGCCCCTACAGTAGCCTGAAATTAAAAGTCCAGGCTGAAGGGGCGCTTCAGAACTTCAACCTTTCGCTTCAAAACTTTGTGAGGATCCGGTGTTTAGGGTTTACGGTTTAGGGGCTTTGAGCCGGGCTTGACGTTTCGAATGCCTGGGACAGAGAGACAGAGAGAGAGAGAGAGAGAGAGAGAGAGAGAGAGAGAGAGAGAGAGAGAGAGAGAGAGAGAGAGAGAGAGAGAGAGAGAGAGAGAGAGAGAGAGAGAGAGAGGGGCTTTGCGGTTCAGTGTTTAGTAGTTTAGGGCTTTCCGGTTTACGATTTGCGTAAACGGACTTCAGGATGCTTTAGGGTCTAGGTTTTTGGGGCAATTGCCCAGTATAAAGCTAAAGGCCATCACTCCAATTGATTAATTTCCTTACGGTTTCGTACATTAGTCGAAGGACCCTTCAATCCGTCAACAAGGAACAGGCCAAAAGCAGTTCGGGCTTGTGCTTCGCCTTTGCCTGTGTGGATCAACCCTGCAGCATCAGGGTGGCGGGTGTTTGGGGTGCGAGCGTCAATTTGGGGTGGTTCGTTTTGCGTGTGTTCTGGGTGTTAGAGTTCAAGCTTCAGGGCCGCGGCTAGTTGGAGACTTCACGAGCAAGCCGCTGAGGTCGGTATACTCTGGGTTTAGGGTCGGTGCGTTTTGGGTTTTGTCCCCCCAGAAGCAGGTCAACCCACAGACAAATTTGAAAAACTTACCTTTGGTTAGTAGGGAATGGAGGAATGGGGTACAATTATAACTACTATTACACCCATTCTTCCATTCCCTACTTACCAAAAGTAAGAAAAACCCATGTTCCGCTGCCTGCTCAGTCTCAAAAAGCCGGCCCAAAGGGCCACCGGTCGCCTCTTCTGTACCCCTGAAAGCAACCATGGCCCGGCGACCGGACGACACACGAGGCGGGCGCATTCTGGCCAGTTCTCTCGTCTTGTGTGTAAAGAAGGAGATGTATACATATGTCCATACAGACGTTAATACATACGTACATTTATTGCACGTGCGTAGATGAACGGATGGATGGATGGATGGATGGATGGATGGATGGGTGGATGTTTATGTGTATATATATATATATATACATACACATATACATACGCATGCTTACTTCTTTCTATTTATGTTTGACCACACCCCGAAGGTTGGCCTTAAGACCCGCGATTTCTTGACGGGTCAGCTTCCTCCGAAGCCCATAAAGCTCAGTCAGACTACACTCTATCCGTCGAGGTTTAGCCTTCGGATGTTATAAGGGGCACGGCAACGGTTCCAGCAGGGGCTGAGGGTTTGCAGAGTTCAGGGCTCTCTTGAGGGTTCCTTTGAGGGTACGATCAGGGTGGTACAGGAGTTCTATAACGGGCCGGGGCTCTGGAGGCGTAGGGTTTGAGTTTAGCTTAGGTTTTATCTGTGGTACCGATTGCCTGCTACTGAACCGAACCGACTTAAACGGCTATACCGTGTGGCAAGGGGGCCGAACCTGCTGCTTGGTGAGGGTTCGGGCTACAGATACACCCTAAACCTGAAACCTTTCATTTTCGTATTGCCTGGATCGAAACGGAGCCCTTTCACAACAAACCTAACTGTTCGACTTCATCTCCTAAGCCGGCGCATCCGCAATGCGATGCATAAAGAGAGGCTGAAAGCCTCCCTAAACCTTGGGCATGCCTGCTCGATGCTTCAATGCGCGTTGTGTGCACCCCGTCAAGAAACCTTGGGTTTCAAGGCTGTTCCAGGGTTTAAGGTGCATCCACTTCGCCTAGCAGAGTTTAGGGCTCTCTGGGTTCTGCTTCTCTTCAGAACAGGCTTCCGCACAAATGGCTAAATCTTCCTACGCTTGCGACCCCAAAGCCCGCAGATTATTCTCCAAAGCTGAAGCCCTAAACCCTAAACCGTGGCTGTATTCCTCAAGCCCAAAAAACCCAGCCATCTCAGAGCGCTCGTGCAGGATCCCTCATCTTCCAAGAGGGGAAATGCATCGAGGGAGACTACTACATTGTGTGGGCCCTGGGGGTTTGGGATTTTTTGTGCTCATTTCGGTTTTGAGGTTCCCGAAGCCTTGAAATTGAAACCCCCAAAATAGACCCCAAATCCAAACCCTAAGCCCTACGTATATCCCCAAACGTAAACCCTACAACTGCTTCTGTGTTGTCTGGAGTCTTGGGCCGGGGATGTGCGGGCTTTTGCCCGAGGGTTTACAGCTGGTTTGAGGTTCAGGTTCTTGGGTTCAGGGTTTAGCATTTGGGGCTTGACGTTCGGGCTTTCGGGCTTAGGGTGTGGAGTTTAGGCAGAGGTCCTTAAGTGGTACCTGTAGGGTATCAGAGGGTTGTAAGCTGAGGGCTTCGGCTTCAGGGTTCATGTTAGGAGGAATAGGGTTCTCGTTAAGGAAGTTAGATTGAAGTTACCGTAATCAGGAAACCCCATTAATTTTTTTAACTCTAAACCCTACTATGGTGACTTAGAGTACGCCCCTCAACGAAAAACCCTGGGAAGGGTTGTGGATTTGGGATGTCGGGTTGAATCGTGCCAGGCGCAGGACCCATAAGTGTTTCCGCAGCGTTCCTCATTAGGGCCTTACTATAACTGATTTTGTGATAGTATGCAGCGGAGCTGATCCGAAGTTGGCTTGGCTCAGCCAGGCAAAACCCTTTAACCCCAAACCCTTCCAAACCGGAAACCAGGTTTTGTGTCAATCTCCGAGGTTGCCGTCTACGACGATCCCGCGACGTGCACCATCTCGCACCTCGGGTCGATCCGGGGGTTTTGGACACCGAAAGCCCTAAATTCACACACCGTGAACTCCAAGACCGAAGTAACCCTCATAAGAACCCGCACCTTTCTGCTAGCCTTTAACAGGAGCTTGGAAAAGGCGGTCTTTAGTGGATTTCAGCCGTCTTGAGTCACAGGACCGATTTCCTGTGGCTTCAGTTTGAACCGCAAAAATTCAGAAGTTGCATAATGGTCTTGAACAGGTTGAGCGGTGGTAGGGTTCAGGGTCCAGGGTTTCGGGTTCAAGATGTGGGGGACTTGGCTATGCTATGAATGATGGCGTCCCGGCATGCCCCGTCGACGACTTAGAACCCTCGGCCCAACATGTAAGCCTCCCCCCAAAGCCGCAAGATTTCAAAACTAAATCCTAGACCCTGTATCCCAAGCCCTGACCTTAACCTTAAGCTTAAATTCTGAGCTTAAATCCTACCCTCAACCACAGCAACAAGCCATTCTGCCTTGCCGGCTGACGGGTCTTTCCGGGGGCTCATTCGCACCGTTGACCATGAAAGAGATATTGCGCAAGGCCCGAAGCCTGAAGGGCCTAGGGTTTAGCAAAGGTTTGAGAAAGACCCAATTTAGACTCAGCACCTGTCTTGTTCCAAGGTTCTCAGCATACGAGCTCGAGAATGACTGCACTTACACCTATCCGCTCACCTACAGCCAGTTCGATGCGCTCTTCCAATACGACTCCGAGCTCATGAACCCATCAAACCAAGATGGGCGTGCCTGAGCTGTGCATTTCGGCTGGGGCTTGTTGGGTCGAGGGCATGAGGATGTAGTAAACCCTGAACCCTAAGCCACGTTACAGGGATTGCTTGTTTCGATTCAGGTTTTGTGCGTTTAGCGTCTTTAGGGTTTAGAGTGGTGTTGGGGCAAGAAGAAGCTTGCGCCACATTCTGAAAGTATGGAAGCATTGCTGATCAAGCATATTCCAGCTTGTCTTTTGTAGTTTGCTGTAACCCCACAACCAGAACCCGAGACTTGAACGAGACAAAGCTGAACTCAGAAATGGAACCTTAAGCCCTAAACCCTGTGCGATCCGAAGTTGCGGAAGCAGGTTGTGAGTGGCTACACAGCTGTGTGAGTGACTTGGTTTTGCGGGGTATTCCTAGAACTGAAACCGAACAGTTTCGGGCCCCCCAAAAAAGAATCTTGCAGTGATTCCCAGCTGATCGGCAGAGCCTGGGTCCTGGGTTCAAGAATGCCTTGCCCCAACATCCCTGAAGCCTTAAACATCCAGACCCTAACGGCCCGAAAGCCCAGAAATCCAGAAACCCTCGTCCTCACGAAACCGGGGCCGGCTTTTGGCGTTCCTTTTGTCGATTTTTTACAACTACAACGGCTCATGCCGAGATAGCTATGGTTTGGCCTCTGTATGGCTGTGGCGAGGTGTGTGCATGGCTTTCGGTTCGAGGTTTTACGCGGTTGGCCTTAGAGTGCGATTTGCGGTTTGACAGGTTCAGGGCTCTGAGGTTCCAGGTTTCGTGGTTTAGACAAGGGCTTCGGGCAGCTCGGCGTGATTGCCGAGAAAGCAGGTTTTGGGGCTTTGCATCGTTTCAAGTTGCCTGCTGCAGGCTTTCACTGGGTCATTGAGCGTCTCGACTTTGTGCAGGACAGGAAGCTGCCCTTCTTTCGGCTAGTAGTTGAACCATGAGCCCTACAAGCCATGCACCCCCGCACTGCAGGAGGATGAGATTCCCATTTGCATATCGTAAGACTTTGGGTATCTCGTTTTCGCAACTTGTGGGGATCGGCAGGGTCGTGGTCGCAGGCTCTGCAAACCCTACGATCACCCACCGTCATCTTGAGCTACCAAGCCCCTGCGCAGGACAAGCGGGGACAGAAAGTCCTGTGCTTGGGCGAGGAGGCGCGATCTCGAATTAGGTGTTAAGTTGTTACATGCTGTTTCAACAACTAACTCATGTTCTGGCCATTGTTTTGAATACATATACCAGTATGATCATGACCATTCTGCGTGTACAGGGACTGCCCTTCCACAAAATCCTGAAACTGCCTTCTACGCAGGGGAAGCCTCAAACACGCGCTAAACCCGGGACCGGAAGCCCCAAACATACCTTGAAGAAGCCGTGAACCCAAACAAACCCACTTGCAAGCCGCAAGCCGCAAGCCATAAAGAAGCCCTAATCTACAAACCGACCATTAACACGCCAAACCTTACACGCCGTCTAAACCCTGAGGAAAGCCTCAACCGTTGCGGAACCCTTGTCAAGCAAACTTATATTGCCTTTTTATGTTTTTCGGAACCTGATATAGTTACCGTAGACCCTAAACCATTAGCAGTAATCCGTAGATCCGAAACCTTGAACCCTCAGCCGTGGACCCTAAACCCTAAATCCTAAACCCCTTACTAGTTCAGCTGGGCGGGTGGCAAAAACCCCTGAACCCGTAAACCCGAACCTCTGAACCTCTAAACCCCGAAACCCCTAAACCCCTAAACCCTGAACCCCAAGCCCGAAACCCTTAAAGCCCTAAACCCCTTAACCCGAAAACATCCGAAAACCCAAACTCTGACTGATGGGAGGCCACTGCGGAGGTGGACGACGAGGCGGACCTGGTACAGGAGAAGCCGCAGCTTGGCTTTTGGGTTTGGGAGTTTATGGATTTGGGATCAGGGTTTCAGAGGGTTTAGGGGTTAGGGTCTATGGATTTGGGATCAGGGTTTCACAGGGTTTAGGGGTTAGGGTCTATGGTTTAGGGTTTGGGGAGTTTATGGATTTGGGATCAGGGTTTCAGAGGGTTTAGGGGTTAGGGTCTATGGTTTAGGGTTTGGGGGGCATGGACGTGCACTCTGAACGCTGCTGGGTCACCAATACCACAATGATTCAGGAATGTACGTGCTTCCTTCTTTCAAACCAGAACCTCCGGTTGCAAGTGCATACCGTTGTACCGAGGCAGCCCAAGCGCAAGCCTTTTGTTCGGCATGCTCGTACTGAAGGCATAGCAGTAAATTTGAACAATTATGCTGCCAGGAGGGCTTGCGAAACGAAGCTAGCGAAATAGAAGTACAAGAATGTCGGGTTTCATTCACGAGAAACAGATCCGAAATCTAGCTGAAAACCAGTGTCCTTTTCAGCAACGCCCGACAAGTGGACTCAGTTCTTTTGGGCCCCTCCCACCATACACTGTAGTCATGCAAGCTGTGAGGACTTCAGGGGGAGGGGGGGGGGGGTTTAAGCACCTCAACTCCTGAGCTTCAGTCCCGGAAGGGTTTCAGGATCCAAGAAAGGGTCGGAGTTTCAGGGTTTTCAAGCAGAGGGTTCCATGTTTCTCATGTGGGGGGGTTGTCAAAATTAGGGTCCCTTTTTGGGTCCTTGATTTAATACGGCACCTAATACGTATGGTACCCAAAAAGGGACCATAATTTTGACAACTACCCATGTAGGATCTATAGGGATCGTCGGCCCATAGATCCCAAACTCTAAACACTAATGCCTCATGAAGATGAAGATTGAATCAAGCGTCTGCAATCCCAAGCCCTAGACCTCCACCTGAGCCCGATCCCTAAAGCCTCGAAGCGAAACGAACACAATCTGAAGACTTTCGGGGGTTTCAGGGGTTCGGGTTTGGGGTGTAGGGATTATGGTTTAGGGTTGCAGGAAAGAGGAGAAGTCGGAAAGAATAGTAGCTCCATTTTCTGATGTGTTCCTTTCCCCCGCCCCTTATCCCGCGCCCCCCGTACTGAATAATTAGAAGAGGGTTTTGTAGGGCTCCTTACCAGAATTTTAAAGTATATTATCATATACACCCAACCCATTTCTAGTTGTTGAGGCCTCTACAGTAGTCTAATTCTGGAAGCCCACAGGTCCCCCTCTAGAAGACTCGAGAACCCTACATAAAACCTCGCAAGCCAAGAGCCGAGGAAAGCGACCTCGGCGGTGCCAGCAAATGTTGGAGGCGACGCGGTTTGAGTTTTCTTGGAGATTGATTCCTAGAAGCTTGGAGTTTAGGAGGAAGCGTTGTCTAATCTCCGTTACGGTACTCTGCAGGTGTCAATTCACACAATTACCACCCTGTCCAGGAGTCTAGGGTGTTTAGGGCTTGTAGAGTCTTTGCAAGCCTGACAATTTTGGGTTTAGGAGTGGGGGGTTGTAAAGTCGCGGCGGCAGAGGCAACAGCACTAGCACCGCAACCGCTGCTGCCGCCAGCATGACCACGATCACTACCACCTGCAGTAAGGGAAGAAGCAGCAGCAGCAACAGGACTGCAATACCACCAGGAACAAAAGATAACGCGGTCATCGGCATTCTTCATCAGGACCAGTAGAAGCCATCAGGGTGTCTTCGTCTTCGCCATCAGGTGTTCGCCTACGTACCAATGCCCATCTTCACCTTTTCTGGATTTCCTCTTCATGTTTGGTGGACGCGGTCATCCTAGTCGGCTGGGTCGCCAGTAGTCACTACCATGCTCTTCATCGTGATCATCAACTTCACTCTCAGCGCTGTCATGTTTTCCTTCAGCATCCACACCACGAACAGCGGCTTGCAGGTAAAATCGATGGCGCCACCCGTGCCAAGCTCCTAAAGGAGCTGGACACCCAGGCCCGCGGGTTAGACTCGGGTGCTTTAAGAAGGCCTTTCAGCTCGCGGCTCGTTTCCGGGCAGTTCGTCGCTGCTTGCTTTGGCACAGACCAACACCCTGCTCTATCTGATGATTATGACGGTACCTACATGACACCGCCAGGATGATGCCAAGCTGCATGCAGCACTCGTGCCCTGGCTGGCAGTTCAAGGGCGACAGAACCTTATCACCTGGAGAAGAGCTTTTGGTACAGTGTACACTCTCTTTGCCTCTATCTGCTGTTACATATATGTATATACTTGCTTTCATATCCATACCCACAGGTGTATACACATTTCTATGTTATTTTAGGACTAAGAGGATGACATCGCTATTTTTCGCATCCCTATATTTAAGATGCAGGGTCCAGGACTTCAAGTTTGGGATTAGGGCTCAGTGCAAGTGCTCAGTTGCATACACCGCAGGGGAGTTTCTTAAGATAAGTTGTTCCCTCACTTTGGAGCTTCGCACAGCATGGATTATACTATGGGGGTTTCCGAAAATAGGGACCCTAATTTAGTACCCTAAATCGTTGGATCCCCATTATTAGGACCACAAAACCAGGTATCCCGGTATCCCTAAGTTTCGGAAACTCCCATGTAGGGTTTGCTTATGTTAGGGCCCCTCACTTCCCATAGAACCCAAGACCGATCACACCCCAAAGCCTAAACCGCGAAACTGCCCGCACGCCCGTCCACATTTCAAGGGCTTCAGAAGCTGGGATGCTGGCAGTTGTTCTTCAGGGTTAATGCAGAGGATTTTGTGCGGATTTGGAGTGTGTTTAGGGTTCGGGTTTTTTATGGTTCAGGTACATTTGCAGGAAGTTGGTTCAGGTACAAGAAGGACGGTCATTTGGGCTTCCCCCTGCCTACCTTCTTCTCACTTTCTAAACTTTGTTAACAACATTCAGAGAGCAGATAACGCTAATCGTGCAATCATTGCACTTGTGTCCGGGTGGCGTTTAGGTCATGGGTCCACAGGATTTCAAGCGCGACTGCATTTGCGGAAACATGCCCTGTACCTGCATTGAAAATTACGAGGTGTATGTGCATGTGTATGCGTGTATTAGATATGTATATGTATGTATATATGATACACTTTACACCATAAGATCGCAAAGTACAGTATAAGACGATGTAGTATACAATGATACTTAAAACCCTAGACCCAAGCCTGGCTTGAAGTGCACCCGGTGCAATCCCAGGTTAAGAGCGAGGGCGCGAGAAAGCGCTTCATCGCCGAGCTCCACGCAAAGCGAAATCTGGAGCAACTCAAGGCACAAGGGGCCTTATAGTCTTATAGTATACCTTAACCCTGAAGAACCTACATTTTTACGGACTTGTACAAAGAAATCATACTGAGGAACCCTAAAAAGGCAGGTTATTCAATTCAGGGTTAAGGTAGGGTTTACGCAGTTTACGCATTACGGTTTGCGTTCAGGGTTGAGGGCTTTTTCTCGTTTCGGGATTAATTCGCCTAGGGTTAGGGATTAAAGCTTAAGCACAAGGAGCGTCGAGGTACACTATGGGCTTGATAGTATAGTTTAGGGACTATAGTAGATGCGTTAGTTTTTCGGGCTTAAAGGCACAAGGGACTTCGTTTTTAGTCTAGGCTGCACTATAGGGATTCGCGTTTGGCTTTACGGTGTAGCCAGTGTTTAGCGACGATGTTTTGAGGCTTAGGGTGCACGCATGATGGGTTCGGGGTGTAGGCGCCGAAAACATGCACATAAGCCAGGATACTTAACACTACTGTTTTGAGGGTTCCTCAGTATAGTTATGCTCTAAAATACCTTGCAGGCCTGTTTAATCATCAAGCCCCCCGCTCGCCCCACGTGTTTGCTCCAATATGCGGTCAAAGCACCTGAACCTGAGAAGACTGGAACTAATCCTATATCACAAGCCCTCAACCCCAAACACTAAAGCTAAACCCTGTTCCCAAACTGTTGCCGCCGGAGAGTTTTGCAAGCCAAGAGGCTTCGCTTGACTTCCCGAATGTCCTTGAGATGATGGTTGCAGGGTTTCCATGGTTCACAGAACTTTGGTGTCAAAGGCGACACCCAAGCTACACGCGAGTTCTTGTGTTTCGATGGGTTCCCAAATCCTGAACAATCAGCGCCCGAAACATGTACCAAACACAACAAAGCCTGGACTCCTGCACCGCAAGCACCCGGAACTTAACCCCTGGGCCCTAAGCTTCTGCAGGAGTTCGAAAGGGCTGCTTTCAGAGGCTAACTTCGCGTTAAGAATTTGTTTTAGCTGGGGTCCCAGTTGCAGTTTAGGTTCGGGCTAGGTGTGCAAGTGAGATCAACCTAGGCTTTCTTGGATGTAGTTGGTTCATCTACAGTTTTGTGTTTGGGCGGTTCTGCTTTGGACCTTGCGTTTCGCAAGCCGTTCCCAAACCCTAAACCCTGAACCCTAAAACGCCCTTGATAAACCCGAAGCCTTCACCCTCGCACCCGCAAGCATGATGTGCCAACTAGACGAGGCGTCCCAGCGCCTCCAGAAGGCAGACGAAGATCGAGAAGCTCGCCTGGCCAAGCACCCTGGTCTGCACCCAGAGGTGGCCCAGAGAAGCTTTTGGCCACTAGGGTTGATGTCAAGTGTTGCATGAAGTGTATTACAAGGGTTCTACAAGGGCTCTAGACTATTCAAAGTTTAGGCTTAGGGTTTCTATGAAAAACGATAAACCCTTACTGGCTGAACCCCAAACCCCGAGTATCTGCAAACCCGACCACCTCGCTACCGTACTACCCCCATCAAAATCTGAACCCCGGATCCTGCTGAAACCGAAAACCGTGCTAAACCTTCAGCCATAAGCTACCTTCCGGGAACGCAGACCTAACATAGTACCCTAAATAATAGGATCCTTATCATAAGGAGCCCAAAATAGGGCACCACATGTTTCCGGAAACTTTAAACCCCTAAACTCATACTCATTATAGAACCCTTATAGATCCCGTTAAGGAACCCTTAACGTAATTACTCCATTATACCTAGGGGTCCTTCTTAAGGGTCCCTCCTTTTACCCGTGGATTCAACGAATTCCTCCATTTCATTTCTTGTGAGCCGAGGCTGGAGCAGATAAAGAAGCAGCAGCACGCCCGGGCCGAGGCAGTGAGCTAGGCTCTTTCGTACGGTTTCGCGTTTTAGTGTTTGGGGTTTAGGGTTTACGGTTCAGTTTAGGGTTTGGGGTTTTATGCGTAGTCCAGGTGTAAAAAAGGGTTTACGGTTTAGTTTAGGGTTTGGGGTTTAGGGTATAGGGTTTAGGGTTTAGGGTTTGGGGTTTCGTAAAGTCCCCAAACCCGAACTAGCCCACTTTGGATCCGGTGTTGCAGGACACTTTAAACCCTGACCCGTTCACCGAAGCTGAACTGATCCACATCCTGCCGGGACCCTCAGACGCCCTTGAACCAGAATCCTTTATCCATAAGGGGTAACACTTTGGAGCATGCACAAGCCCTAAACGCTTTGTCCGAGTTGCGAGAGTCCGAACCCCTTAACCCTAAAATCCTAAGTCGCAAGCCCAAACCCCTAGACCGGCAAACCGAAACCGTTCAACCCTGAGTAAACCCGTCCGAGTGTGAGCGCCGAAACCCTAAACCCGAAATCCAAACTCGCAGCCCAAGTGGAAACCGGAAATACAGCAACTGTGCAGGCCCACAGGGCAGCGGAGGAGGCCAAAAAGAGCACCATGGCCCAGCTGGAGGCATGCCGGTACGGTCTAGGGTTTAGGCTTAAGGGTTTGGGTTTGAGGTTCATTCTTTTCATGGCTTCAGGGTCGAAGGATGAGGGTTCAGGACTTCCGGGTGTAAGGCTTGAAGGTCGCAATGACAATCAGATAGCAGGACAGCAGACGAGTCAGGGCTTTTGAGATGCTTAGAGAGACGGTTGTGGGACCACAAGTCGAAACCTGCTCTGCTTAAATTCCAGTGGCCCAATCAGATAAAGCCGAAGGCGACCCGGAGCACTGGATTTTGGCTGGTCCTACATGCAACTAAAGGCATTCTCACGGTTCTAAAGTCGGAACAGTTAGGATAAACACGTGATGTAGTGACAGCACAGCATACCCCAAGAAGCTACTGGAATCATTGGGGCCCTTTCTTTAAGACTCTGCGAACCCGGAGTGAAGGCAGGAAAACTCATCCACATGAGAATGAACCAGCAGTCCTTCACAGTAGCCATCGAAACGATCACCAAGAGCCAGTCAACAAAAGCTAACCGAACCGATGCAGCAGTAGATCCTGACTCGTACCTTATCGTGAAGCAAATCTCACGAGGCTTAATCCATGCCAGTTTAGCGGCAGTTCCTTCGGCAGCAACTCTTCTTGGTCTTCATGCCTTAGTGCTCCTCCATGGCAGGTCCCCTAAACCCTACACCCTGCACCCTAAACCCTACACCGTAGATCCTAATGTTTACCTTTGGTTAGTAGGGAATGGAAGAATGGTAGTAATTACTAGTAATTATAATTGTACCCCATTCCTCCATTCCCTACTATCCAAAGGTAAGTAGATCCTAATGCCAGGTCTTGATGAAGCAGAAGGAGGCTCAGGCGATCCGCCGCCTCATCCAGGAGAAGGCCGGCCCCGGAGAGATCGCCAGGGCGCTGATCCCAAAGCACCCAGGGCGCCAAAATACTGTAGGGGCCTAAATACTAGGGTTCCTTTAAAGGTGGTCTATAAGGGTTACTATAAGGGATCTATAAGGGTACTATATTATAGGGGCCTAACTAATTAAGTACCAATACTATTGCGGGGGTTCCTTATTAGAGATACACCCAAAACCTTGTTATTCTAATGGTGAAGGCCCCTATATGGGAGTCTGAATGACCATGTGATGGTATCCGCTTGAAGTCCAGATTCTAATGATATGCTAAACTTTATCTTGTCATTAAGGCCGAGGGTGCTGCGGATCGAAGCTTTACGGTTGGGGTTAATGGTTATGTAACATCAGGTTGGCCTTCATAAACGGCCGGATGGGTATTCAGCAGCAAGCGCTCGCAGCTTTCTCCCTGCTTGATGTTGCAAGCTGCAACCCGAATGCCGTGACACCACTCTGAGAATTCTGAATCCACCCGGAGCGAGTCCGCGTGATTCGTGCTGGGCCCAGTCTGCAAGATACACTGCAAGCCCGTCAGCGGTCTATGCCGAAGCCTCAATCGCCAAGCCCTGAGCCAGCCAAGCCCAACCCAAAACTCCTCACCGCAACACCCCGAAATCTTGGAACACCCAGTCCTACCCGGCCAAAAGGACGCCCAAGACCGTGGCATGGGTCGCGAGCTGCATGGATGCATGGGTTTAGGGTTCACATTGGTCCAAGATTGTTTGGGTGCAGTTTTGGGTTCACTTGGGTGCATCGCTGAGACCTTTGCCGGTACAAGTCGGGTGTAGGATTTGTCAAGCCTTAAACTAAACCCCTAGTTGGATCCCCATATTACTCGAGATCCAAAGCTCCTAAACACTCAACAAGTGTTCAAGAATTCCCAACTGGGTGCTTTGCGGTCAGAGTTTCTGAGTCTGCCGCTCAAGAGTGTGAAGGTGGTAACCTAGTGGGACGATGCACCCGGATGGCACAGCAGCCATTAAGGCTTCAGAGGTTGACCCGAGGACGTAGCACGAAAACTCCAAGGTGGTTGGTGAAGACTAGGCTGAGCCTTCTAGACTTGCAAGCTGAAGGGTTTGGGGTTTGGGGCTATGGTCCGAAAAACTGTAAATGAGCACCGAAACAGTCACCGTTTCCGAATCCTGAAAATGAAACCCTAGTCAAGCCCCTCGGTGCCGGAATTCTCCTGAAGCTCGTCCATCTCAGGAAGGATGCCGCGAGACAGCGGAGGAAGATGCAGGAGCGCGGTGTGTCTTCCCCACTTTTCTGGAGTTTGTATGATTTGAAGGTTGCAGGACTTCAGTGTTTTGTGTGTAGCTGGGTTTGGGTTGAGGACTTGAGGAGTCGAAGCTGCAGCAAAGAAAGAATGTTTGGTGCCGTCATACCAGAACACAAAGCAGTTGTTCCGTGTAATAACATAGCCATAGCATATGAAGTATGATGCTGTGAGATTCCTGCGATTGGACATTTGCAGCCTTTTGCATTGTATTGTGTTGTATTGCCCTATGTTACTTTTGATGTTTAATGTGCGCTTCTACGACGTACTTGGGCTCAGGCTGTAGAGATCTGGGATTGTCGAATGTCAGGTCCTGAAATGCGTCGAACAGGGGATTGGGATTTAAGAAAACTGCCGATGGCTTGAGACGAGGCATAACCTCGAACCTGCCTCCGAAAAGACTGAGCAAGCCACCAGCCCTAGAATCCTTAGGGCAAGCCCCAAAGCCCCAAGCCCTCGAACCTTCGTCGTTGAAGCCCGACATCTGCAAGCGTGCTTTTGAGACCCTGATTTCAACTAGGCCCGAAATCCTAAACCGTTCACAGCTGTTGTTGTGGGACATATACCTGGATCCGTGCCGGCATATGCAAGTGCGCATGTCGAAACCATACACACGCCTTACTTGGACTCGTCCGAGTGTGAGCGTCGCAGAACAGCAGACGACTCCGTTCCAGGAGCGGTCGGCGGCGGAAGTTAGGGCCATCGAGGAGGAACGAGCACAGCAGCGACGTGCCCGCAGTTATGTAGTGGTCTACGGGTCAGAGGTTGGGCAGGTCAAGGGTTCAAGTGCATGCAGCTCTGGGTGTAGGGTTTGAGCAGGTGGGGCTGTAGGGTATGTCTGAGGCCACAGAGATCCTGATTTCTTGAAAGCCCCGAACTGTAGTCCCCTAAATGCCTACAGCGTTCTAAGCCGAAAGCACGTATTCCCCAACAAGTTGTTCATGTCATATTGGCATCGGAAGAGGACATAGTACCTCCTTAGAGTCCATTATACTTATAAAATATTATATAAGTTAATCTGACCCAAAGCCCCAGTCTAATTGTTGCAGCCCCGAAAACCTAAACCCCCCTCAAAACCTTAAAGCCCTTTGATACAGAGCCCGGAAAAGAGCCCTTAAAGTAATCCTTACGGAACCCTGATAAAATTTGGAGCCCGGGAAGGGGGGGGGGGGTTGTGAAGCCACGACGCAGGTTGGCCAAAAAGCGCGACACCGAGGCTTGTGAGATTTACAGCGGGGGCGTCTTATTCAGCACACGACAGGGTCTTAAATGATTTCCAACAATCAATCATTCCTTAAGCTTCCAAAATACTCACCAATACCTTTCCTTACCAATACTGTTCCTTAGATTCCTTTAAGTCATGAAGGCAATTTTTGTGAGAAAGCCCCAATTACAGCCACCTGCAGAAGCTATTTGGGGGGGGGGTGGGAAACATGTTTAATCTTTTAAATAGTAGGATTTTGCGAAGACTCCTGAGGAATGCTAAGATCTTAATCTCGTAGCAGGCTTCTCCTAGTTGTAAGAACTGCTACAGGAGGTGCATCAATATCGCTGAAGGAGGCGGAGCTTTTGTTTCGTCATCGGGTGTTCAGGGCGGCAATAATGGAGTTTGGGTTTGGGGTTTAGGGTTGCGGAGCCTCAGTCCGTGCTGAAAAGGGTTGCGGAGTTACGGCTTAGGGGCGAGCGAGGAAGGTGTTGATGAGAGGCGTACAGCTCATAGATCCCAAATAGTAAGATCCGTTTCGTGCGGATCCCTTGAAATGGACAATGCCCATGATGATATCTCCTTAACATCCCGCCAGTACCTGCAAAACTTGTCCGTTTGAGTAATGTGGACTCCTGACTGAAAACATCCATTCTCCAAGGGCTACTCTGATCCCAGTATTGCCCGTATTAGCGGAGGGGTTGTACTGATCAGGGGCCTACAGCATGAAAGACCCTGTTGCATGTTTTAAGACCCTAAGCTCCCAACTGCAGTACATGCACGAGGAAAAGAGGTTTCAATACAAAAACCATACGAACCACGAAGCAAAACTCCAAGACCCCCTGCGGCATGGTCTGGGCAGGTGGAGAAGCGGCAAGGGCTGATCTTGAAGAAGAACAGCAGCTCGACTACTTGACGTAGGGTTCTGAATGTAGGGGTTCCGGGCTCCTAGAGGGGTTCCAACCATGACACTGCAAGGCGTGTTAGTTAGCTTTAATAAGATTTTGCTAAGTGTGCTTAGGTTTCCTTACGAATGTCAATAGAAACTCGACATCGCGTCGATTTCAGTACCTGGCCCCACGCCACAGATAAGGGCTTGGGGTTTACGGCTTGAACAGGTTCGAACATTTGAGCAGTAGTATACCTTGTTCGTACCTTGAAAATTACTTATCGCATATCATACCCTGAAACCCTTCACTGACTTTCCAGGCCCTTTGCTAAACACTCCAAAATGCAAAATTTGGGGTGTTTATCAGCTGCCTTGTTGCAGCAAATGTTCAAGGGTCAGGGCTTCCGATGCCGACAGCATTTTGTACATAGTTCCCTCCAGCCAGAGAAGCTTGAACAGTCATCAACCTCATCCCCCAAGGGTTCCTGATCACTCTAGTTATACCCTTCTGTCTGGTGCGGTTTGGGGGCTGACCCTTTTTCAGCGTGGGCTTGGATTATGTGCCGGCGAACACTCCTCAATAGCAGGGCCTTCTCGTTTGACGAGGGATGCAAATGTGGCAGCAAGATAAGCACAACGGAAGACTCTAAAAGCCTAAAGCGTGTTTGTTCGCTTGATTCGTATCGTCTGCAGAAATTGCCTGGCTGTGTCCGAGCGTGAATGTCAAAAAAGCCTGAAGCACCAAGGCTAACTCCTGGCTGCAGGGTTTCTCATTCAGGACCTTGTAGGCGTGTTGTCTCGGTGTGCCAGGACAAATCGCCGAGATTCTCCGAGATGAGAAGCTGAAAGATCGCGAATACCAGGCTTCGCCTTTGGGTTTTAAACTTTGGGATTCGGGGGCTTGTGGTTGCAGCAGCCCGGTTTCATCTTTGTATCCAAGGTGTATAGCTTGCATTGTGTTGGGTGATTGATAGCATCTGATTAATGGCGTGTTTCTTAATGGACTTAGAAACATAAGAACGCAGGACTCAGTGTAACTCGTGCTGCGGTTGCTATTGCCGCCTGTAGGAGTTGTGCAAGATCATCCCCAAGATCATCCCTTGCCTGGGTATCTTTTGGCAATCTCTTGATGTTTTGACTTTCTGAGAGGTGGTTTGTGTTCAATGATTCAACACATCGGGGAGTTTCCGACAGCAGGGGGTACCTTTATGGGGTCCTTATAATAAGGATCCTACTATGTAGGGTACTATACTAGGGTCCCCTATTTGGGAAACTCCCACATCTGGCTCCGGCCTTCGGCTTCATGCAAGCGTTTGAGACCTGATTTGGTGTGGGTGGGTTCATGCACAGCAGGCTTTGATTTAAAACCTGAGTTGGGGCTCTGTACCCTAAACCCCAAAACCTTAATTCGTAGAAAGCTCAACTCTGAAACTAACCGGCACCGTTCCAAACTTTAACCCGTCTTGCTGAGCCTTAAAGCTGTCCCGGCAACAGACCCAAAACTCCATAAACGCAAGTCCTAAACACCCTCCAAAAAGAAAGCGTCCACGAGCTTCCTGAAACCTAAATGCCCTGAAATGCCTGGAAAAAATGAGAAGAGCATACAGGTGAGGCTCCGGGAAGAGAAAGACCTGATCATCCAAGATGCCCGGATCCCGGATCTTTGAGTTTTTGGGCACTAGCCGTCACTAGCCAGTGACTCAAAAAACGGTCTAGGGTTTGGGGTTGAGGGTTTTGGGTAGGTTTCTCAAGCACTGTCTGCAATGGAAGACGACGATGGGAGATGACGGGGTTGCGGTTTGGCTGTGGGCATCTGTCACTTTTGTACTGTTGTCGCATATTTCCTCGCGAACCTCTTGAGGGTTGTGTTTCTTTGCCGTGCTCTCTAAGTCCAGATGTATGTCTTCAATTTCTGAGCCTCGTACAGTACTGCCATGACAAGCGGAATCTACAGATGTCGGAGTTCAGTCGCTGCCTCTTGTGCGGAGCACGGGTGTGGCCGGCTTCCCAGCTGAGCAGGATCAGAGCCTGGGCTCAAAAATGTAGGCTTATGGTTCAGTCGCCAAAAAGTAGAAAGGTGGTTCCTTGTGGAAGGGTTCCACAAGTGTGGGCTCCTTACCTTTCACAGAAGCCCAACTGCAGAAGCACTGTTAAGCCTCGTCGTAGCCTCTATAGTAGCCCTTGTAGTGACCACCGTCGTAACTCATTTATAACAGCCTCGAAGGCAACTTTTCCAGCGACATTTATTGTAGCCTTTGCAGTGACCCTCGCAGTAATCCCCCAGGTCTGGAAAAGCAAGGCACAGGTTCGTGTCGCCCAGGAGGACCGGTTTGTTGATGGGGGTTGGGGTTTAGAGCTTATGAATTCCCAGCTGATCGGCAGAGTCTGGGTTCAAAAAAAAAATGGAGGCAATTCAGAGAGACCTCGTTCAAAAGAGTTTATGAAGTAGGCTTTAAACTAGGAAATCTGGTGACTTAGCGCAGGGCTCCTTGGGATGCTTGGTGGACGTATAGTTTGGCTTGATTCTCGCAAAATCCTATGCCGTCTGCAAGAATTTTGACGTGCTTGCACTGTACACCAGTGCAGTCATTTTATGTGCAGTCTGGTGCTCTTCCGGCCGGGCTGAGGCTTGGTCCCGAATCCAAGCCTCGAAGCCACAAGCTCGTGTCAAAATCCTGTCTGAAACGTCATAGAAAGTAGATGAAATCCCAGCAAAGCCTACGCCGTGACACACGGTGGATGGGGCTTCGGGGGTACGAGAAGTCATCTTAACGGAAAGCCTTCTGTCATGCCCTTCTGCTTTAGCCCTCCAGCGCCACGTCACGGGCCGAAATCCTACAGCGCACCAAAGCAGCATACTGCAACCTCGGAGTCTTCAAGTACTGCTACTGTAGGGCCGGCCATTGATGTGCTAAGCCCTGCAAGCTGCATGTGCCGGGATCCCTCTAACCTTTCATCACACCTTCTATGCTTTAGAGAACCTTTAGCATTCGCGAAGGAGAAGGAACGCGAGTACATTCGCCTGGAGGTCGGAGCATGTTGTTGGATTTTGAGCGATTGTTGAATCGTTTCACGGAGTCTTTATGTGTTCAGAGCAGCCCCACCCCTTCATCTTTGAGGCATCAGGGTCTCACCCCCAGTCGACTGAGCATCTGACTGGGATTTGGGGGATCATCCTTCAACGCTAGAGCCCTGAACTTGAGGACTGTTCCGAAAGTGCCTGACCCGTCCCGTCCTCCCTGACCCATGTTAGCTATGTTGGAACGGGGTTGATGAGAAGACGTCCCCCGGAACGAAGGATTCCGAACGTAGGATGCAACACCTCCACCCAACAAACGGCAAATGAATCCGGCCTCGAGAAGGAAACCGAGAAAAGACAAGATGGTAATGCCTGAAGTCTACAGTTAGGGCATTTGTTTTGGATGTGCTTAGAACAAAGAAGTCCATTATGTAGATCAGGGTCCCGTAGTTTCTGAAAATACCAAATCGCCCCCAAGGAGATCCGGGAGAAGGTGAACGTCGAGAGAGAACGCCGGCGTGCTCTCGACGAGCTCAAGCAGATCAGTGCCATCCGTGACCCGGATCGGTTTCTAGGGCTTAGGGCCCGCAACCTGGCAGCGCATGAATCCTAAACCGTATAAACTTCAATTGCACCCCAAACCCTGAACACTAAGCAGAATTGTAGTGTAGGGTTCCTTTGTGGTTCCGGGTTGAGGCTGTAGTCTGTATCGGCTAAAATTTTGCAAGTTGTTGTAAACCAGGCATGGTCCATGGTCGGTGCCGATATAAAAATACTTTCTTAGTATTCGGTACCAAAGCAGGGTTCAAGAATCAGAGCAGCTCTTCCGTATGTAACAGCAAGATTCAGCTAGCTTGTCGTTGAGGAGTTAACTTCAAACTATCGCGAACCAGAGCCCACGACTAGTCTTAGGCTTCCTATGCAAAACATGCAACACAACCCTATTCCAGATTAACCTGTCTTCTCTCCCGACTGTGGTAGATGAGTTCGAGCTCCGAATTGCTGTAAATGGAACCCTAAATGCTAAAGCCCTTTACCTCAGGGACACCCTTGGAACGAACCGTGTCATTAAAGGGAGCGCCTTAAAGGAACCTTTTTCAGGGTCTACGCTCTGGAAACCCTACCTGCGAAGCTCAGGCAAGCACGCCGAGGAGGAGAAGGAAGTTACCGTGAAGAGGCGAGAGAAGATGCGAAAGGACTGTTTAGGGTTTAAAGCTTTCGGGTGTAGGGTCTGGGCGTTTGGGAGCTTTTTTGGGGGTTCATACTGTGAGGCTTGCAGTCCTGGGGCTCTTGGGACGACCTGTTGGATGCATACTTCCCCAACAAATGCCATAAGCCCTGCATCCCGTATCCTCTGTCCCTATACTTGCGCCCTGGATGCGACACCAACCCTACAGCTCTAAGCTTGTACCCTCAAAGCCCCGCTCTGCCCGACGCCCTAAACAAAAAACCAGGAAGCCTCACTCACGAAAGCCAACTGCCCTCCAGGAGTACCTGCTGCAATTGAAGGTCGAAGCTAGCAACAGGCCCGGGCACTTTCTTGCAGGGTCAACGGTTTAGGGTCTAGGGTTTAGGCTTTAGTTGTTCTTAAGCAGGGCTCGTTTAGGGCTGTTAGATTATGTGGGGCAGTTAGATTATGTGGTTCAGGTGGCCTAGGGTAAGAACTGAGAGGGTGTAGGGATTCTGCAGGGTTATTTGATGGGGTTCCATGCGGTTCTGGGGGGGTTTCAAGGTCCTCAACCCCAAACCTGGTTTATGAAAGTTTAAGGTTCAGGATTTGGGTTGAGCTGAGGGTGTTTCAAGTACAAATGTAGGTTTCCTCGACCGGAAACGTCAAAGTGTAGCGTAGTCGCCATGATAACATACCGAAGGGTTTTTAGTGTGCCTTTTTGGTGCGGAAGGTCTGCATTAATTTTTCCCTAAGCCGCAAACCCGAACATTTATGTCCAGAAGACTTCAATTTCCACGCCGCGCAGCGCCACAGCTCAAGCATGGGGCGTGCGACATCAGAGGCCAGTGATGCTGATGATGATTGTTGGGCTGGCGATGATGGGTTCGCGGTTGTCCCGAAACGAAATACCAGTGATGCTGATGATGCTGGCACTTGCCGCCCGGCAGTGGAAAGCAGTGGCCAATGCTGATGCGGCGCTTGTTCACGAGAAGCGAGAGGCAGTAATGCTGATGATGCTGGAGCCGGGTTTGTTATGTCCCAAACGAAATACGAGTGATGCTGATGATGCTGGGGCTTGCCACCCAGCGGAAGCCAGAGGATAATGTTAATGCGGCACTTGTTCAAAAGCAGCGAGGGGCAGCACTACCAGTGATGGTGCACAGCAGCGGAAACCAGTGGCCAATGCTGATGCGACGCTTGTTTACGAGAAGCGAAGGGCAGTACTGTTATGTACTGGTGGTGATGCTGGAGCCGGGATTACTCTGTCCCGAAGCAAAGTACCAGTGATGCTGATGATGCTGGCGCTTGCTGGCAAGCAGCGGGTACCAGTGGCCAATGCTACTGCGGTGCTTGTTCACGAGAAGCGAGAAGGCAGTCATGCTGATGATGCTGGAGCCGGGCTTGTTCTGTCCTGAAACGAAAGACCGATGATGCCGATGATGTTTGCACTAGGTGGCAAGCGAGAGGCAGTAGTGCTGATGATGGGCCGAGCTTTCTTCGCCCCGAAACGAAATACCAGTACCAATGCTGATGCGGTGCTTGTTCACGAGAAGCCACAGGCAGTAATGCTGATGATGCTGGAGTCGGGATTGCTTTGTCTCGAGATGCCGATGATGCTGGCGCTCGCTGGCAAGCAGTGGACACAGTAGCCAATGCTGTTGCGGTGCTTGTTCACGAGAAGCGAGAAGGCAGTCAGTCATGCTGATGATGCTGGAGCCGGGCTTGTTCTGTCCTGAAACGAAAGACCGGTGATGCCGATCATGTTGGCACTTGCTGGCAAGCAGCGGAAGCGAGACGCAGTAATGCTGATGATGCTGGGGCCGAGCTTGCTTTGTCCCGAAACGAATTACCAGTGATGCTGATGATGCGGGGTTTGTTCGCAAGAAGCGAGAAGCAATAATGCTGATGATGCTGGAGCCGGGCGTGCTTTGCTCCGAAACGGAATACCAGTGATGCTGATGATGCTGGCGCTTGCCGCCCAGCACCGGAACGTGAGACCAGTGATGCTAGCGCTGCTCGATTGCTGAAGGTCGCCCACCGAAACGAAACGCCAATAATGTCGATGATGCCGGCGCTGTTTGCTTAGTACCCAGGAGGGCTGATGCTGATGATGCTGGTGCTTGTCGTCCAAGACCTCTGACCTATGGCTGCAGAGCCTTTGCAGGTTTGCCATCGAGATCCATTTTCTCAAGCTTCAGAGAACAAGGGTTGCCAACCCGATGCTCAACATCTTCACGAACATTCGCTCATATTCGGTCTTAAATCCAATACCCCAAACCCGTAAAGAACCCTAAACAGCGTAAGCCCCGAACCCGATTATCCTTTGAGTTGAACCCTTTTAAAGCTTCAAACCTACACGAAAATTGAACCCGGAACCCTCAACCCGAAGCTCTTCAAAAGAGCATCCTAAACCCTCAACCCGATTCTTCTCCTGACCCTTAAACCCTGAACGCTTTCGACGTCATTCAGCTCTGATCCATGCAGCCCGCATTATTATCGGCATCCTCAAGACACCCTTACTGGAAACGTTTCAGAAGTTCTGAAGCAAGGCTATTGCACCAAGCCTAACGGAACCAAACCTAACCTAGCCCTGGACCTAGCCCTGCCTAAACCTGACCCAGCAACGAACTAACCTTACCCCTGCCTGCCCCACGGAACTAACTCATTCCTGCAACTGGCGCACAGGGCCCAGGCAGTGCGAGAGCAAGCGAGAAGGAGTCTCGACACATGCGGTCAGGGAAGGTTATTTTCTTTTCAATGGAGGGCGTTATATTCGGACTTAGGATTTGCATGTCGTGCTCTTTTAGGGCTTGTTTGCGGCGTATCTCAAGAGTTTAAGAACGGTCTGTCTTATTTGTCGCAGGGTCAACAAGTGTTGTGGTTAGTCCATACATACGAGTCCAGGCTTTCGTCGCTTCAGGTTCATATCCCGGAACCCCAAACATTTAGCGCGCCGAACTTTTCAATGGGCTGGGTTGGGCCTTCGAGGGACATGGACTAGGTGCTAATATTTACTACTTTGTAGCTTTAGAGGGGCTACACGGAGCCAACATGGCTTACTTCCGAATCCTTTAGTAAAGTTTGGTATTTGTCGTTCAGGTTTTGTTTACGAGCCAGGACTTCTTGTCTGAGGCTGAGGTATTGGGAAGTTGGGCTTTAGGAACGTAGTGGCGATATCCCTAAACGCCAAACCCCACACCTTCAAGAGGACAATAAGTCGATTCTGTGTATGGTATGTACTTTCATTTCAAGCTGCCATTTCAAGCGCACGGCACGAGTTGTCGTCGGATTCGCCACTGGAACCCATCATAGTTGTAACTCTTATAGTTCGTGCTTTAATGAACTTCACTGCACCCTAAGTCCTTCAAAACCTTGAATTGCAATCCAAGGAATGAGCGCCGGGAGCAGAAGATCCAGGACGGGTTGTCTTCGGCCATGTGTTTCAGGGTTACAGGGCTTGGGTCTTAGGGTCTAGGTTTTTGGGGTTTGGGGTTAAGTTAATCCTCGTCATCACTTCACCATAATTATATAGACCTGGCAGGCCTCCCGTGCTGAGGGCTATAGGTTTCTGTTTGGCAGTGCTGCTTCCCGCTGATCGGCAGAGTCTGGGTTCAAAAAAGGCGCTTTAGGGTTTTAGGGGCAAGTTCTTTTCCTCAAACTTCTCTCACCAGAATCCTGCTGAGCCCTAGCGGTTCACAAAGCCGTGGAATCATTAATTTTAACAAACCTAAAGCCGTTCAAACCCCAAGGTATAAAAACCGGACAGAAGCCCTAAACCAGTAAACCGGTTAAGACTCGAAAAGCTAAGCACCTTTAGAAAAGTTCCAAAGCCTCCACGAAATTACAGCTTAAGCCTCATGGAAGCCCTAAACCCTACACCCCCCGGGGAGGAGCGCGAAGAGGTCCGACTCCGAAAGTTCCGCGAATCGCAGTTCATGGATACCATGCGCTGCTTCGGCGGAATTCAATGATGGGATTTTGGGGGAATTTAGGGCTTACGGTTCAGGGATAAGGGCATTTGTGATTTTGTCGTGGCTTGTCTAGGTTGTTTGCGCACCCTTATCGGGAGGAGTGTTCTCTACACGTGTAATTTGCAGCGCTGCTTTACAAGGTTGTCCATCGAGTCTTTGTCTTAGGCTTTCTGACCGCTTCATTTCACGCTTGTGTGTGTGTGTGTGTGTGTCACAAATACGGGGCTTGTTTGCAGCACGCCCATCGGCTAAAACTCTGTGAGCCGGATCTTGGACCCAACACGCCCACTGTTTCAACACCTCATTGGCAGTTGTTTTGCAACGAGGTTTCCGTCTTCTTACGGAAGCTATTCTTTGTGGCGGTCGCCTATTCTTGGTAGCGGTCGCTATCAACAGACAATAGACACAAGCCCTGAGGCCTAATGTACGTCGCGTAACCTAGATTCAATCTGTACCTTTATGCAGTTTTCACTTTTTTGGCCTGCTGGCAGAACAAGAATAATTAATCGGGCAGGCTTTTCTTGATATATTGAGGAAGCCACAAACTGGACGCGAGAATCCCATACCCTAGCTTCCCTGCATGCACACCCTCCCCCGGTCCCAGAACCTCTGCAACCCAGAGACTCCAAATATCCCTCAATTCAGGAATATTCCTGAAATTATTGCAGGATCCCTAATCTGATTTCCCTAAACCCTAAACCCTAAGGCCCGGAGGGTTAGCTGCGTAGCCAGGGTCAGGTGGGGGTGTGCCGTGCGGCTGGGCTGGTGAACTTGCTCCACGGCTTGATTCTGCGCAGGGTGACGGTGACCGGGCGGCCAGGACTTCTAGGTGCGCGGGGCGATTCTCCGCAAGATCGTGCCTGGTGGAGCCTTGGTGTTCGACATGGGTTCGCCGATAAAGATCGGGCTTCCGGGGCAATTGCCTTCCATTGATGACGGCATGGACGCTGACCTGGATGACCAAAAGGATAGTCCCAGCAAGCGGAGTCGTGGACCGGGAAAACCCAGAACCGACCCAGGGGGTGCAGGAAGCGTGGCCGATGATGTGCCGCTCACGTTGAGTTCTTTGCGTGGACTCTTTGCTGAACAGGCCACCACGCTGCTGCATGCACAACGTGATCAACTTCACTCGGCGCTCGGGGACTTGGAGAAACGTACCACACAACACATGCAGAAAATTGAGGCGAAAGTCGACAACCAGCATGATCAGCATCACCAACTGGCACAGCAGGTTCAGGCCATGGCAGAAAGGGTTCAAGCACTGGAATCCCGGGAGCCTCCCACCGCGGGTCGAGGGGTAGATCGGAAAGCCACCCTCATCTTCGGGGGGTGGCAGCAGCAGACGAGAAGGGCAACCATCCTCGACCAGCTGGAGAGAGAGCCCTGCAGGCGCTTCACTTGACTGAGTACCTTGACCAGCAGCCCTTCACCACAGGCCCGAGACGTTCAGTAGCGATGGTGAACTTCCACCTACGGCCCTCGGAAAGGGAAGGAGATCCGCGGCAACGCATGATGAAAGTGCTTCAGACGGTGAATGCAGGGAAGGTACAACTTGAAGGCGCGGCTAAGACCCTTTGGTGTAGCTTCTCCAGGACCCCTGCGGAACGGGGGAGAGCCTCGGTCACGGCCCTCATCAAGAAGACGGTCATGCGACACTGTCCTGCGAGGCAGGATGACCTCGACCTCGATTATGCCACCGGCTGTGCCTGGGTTCGGGACGACCAGGTAGCGGGGATGGGGCAGCCACCAGACGAATGCCGCAGGGCGAGGGTTGTGGAGACCAAGGCTGGTGTCGCATGGGTGGACGTGTCGACTCTGGCCAAATGGGTCGATGTGGAGAAGGATTGCATTAATGCCCTTGTTGACGAGCATAAGTTCTGAGAGGGAAGCACTGATACAGCTGACATCTTCGGATCGGAATCAACAGGTCCGGTTCGCCAGCCACCATGCTCTTCTCAGTCACCGATCAATGATCCCGTGGGTGCCATCAAGAGCAAGTGCGAGGGTTATTCGATCTTTGGGTGGAACATCGGGGGATCGGAACTCAGTCTCGTGCCGAAGGCAGTCCGAGACGGATCAGGTCGGCCAGTGGAAAAAAGTGATTTGGTCCTGCTTCAAGAACTCCCGAGGGATAAGCCGGGTTGGGACTACCAGCAACTCCAGGGACGACGAGTGATCGCACACAGGAGTCCTGACCAGTGGCGAGGCACAGGACTTTGGTTTGACGATCGTGCGTGGTGCGTTCTTCGGAAGGTCGCGACAAACCGAGGGACGTGGTTCAAGCTCAGGCACCTCGAGCACCAGCTGGAGACTTGGATCGGCACCGCTCACTTCCAACCAGGTTGCAATCATGCTACTTACGAGGAAGATGTTTCCCAACACTTCGGAGCCCTCCCTCGTAATGCCCACCGAGTCGTCTTTCAGGGTGACGTCAACACGGGTCTCATGTGGCAGGTGGACGCTGCAGGGGTGACTGCTTATGCTAAGGAAGGCAAAGGGAACACGCTGCATCAACATGCTGTTGCGAAAGGCTTACATTTCCTACCTCCAGGACGGGACCAGTTAGAGATTCCCACCAGCAGACCGAGGCAGGAGAATAGGGAAGGCCAGTGTATCGACATCCTCTTGGGGAAGCTCTCTTCGTGCCGAGGGGTTAGGGTATGTGTCGACTCCTTCATGTGTTTGGGAACTGATCACGAGCTCGTGGTGGGCTCCTTTGCATTCCCGGGCGAGAAGGTTCATCATCGTCACGATAGTTGCCCTAGAATCCTCAACAAACCCATTGGCCAGATCGACCACCTTGATCAGCAAGTACTCACCGACCTCGCGCGGACCCACACCCGCCCTGTCCAAGGCTGCTCGTACAAGGACACCAAGGAGGTCAAGCTGGCGTTCCGGGAGGCCAAGCGGAGGGGCACTGCCGAGCTCTGGAAGACGGCTCTCAAGCTTCGTAAGAGTGCTAGGCAAGAATGGGAGAAGGACAGACTACGCCGTGCTAGCCAGGGGGACTGGGCATCCTTTAAGGCCCTCAAACCCAGTAGGCAAGCAGGATGGGATGTGGCATACGCGGAAGTCCAGACGGTCGACCCTCACGAGTCTGTGCACCAGCACCTTGCCGATGTTTATAAGGGGCCCGTTCTTCCACCTGAACCTCCGTGGACTGGCGAAATCCGAGCATTCACCAGAGAAGAACTCAGAGTGGGACTGAGCCAGATGAAGAGAGGGAAAGCAGTAGGCCTGGATGCAACTTCAACGGAGCTCCTGTACGGTGTTGTGGAAGCCCCTGGAGGGGAAGGGCACCTCTTGGAGTACTACAATAGAATCCTTGCCACGCAGTCTATCCCTTCCGTGTGGAATGACCCCTCGCTCATCGTCCTCCCAAAAGCCCATGCCCCTTCGGGGCCCAAAGAACTTCGGCCAATTGCTATGTCCAGTGCGGTGGGGAAGTTATTTAGCAGACTCCTGTTGAACCGAGCCCTCCCTTCCATCAGACCGTCGACTTACGCTCAATGTGCTGGCCCCCATAGACAGACGGCGGACTACCTTTACACCGCCTTCCGTACTTTTGAACTTTGCCGTGAATGGGGGCATCCGCTTGCAGTATTTAAGCTCGACTTGGAAAAAGCGTTCGACAGGTTGGATCGCACAGCGCTAATTGATCAGCTCGAACGCAAGATCGGCAAGGGTGCCGAACTCCAGTGTTGGAAGGGCCTGTTGGCCACCACGAGAGGACACCTGCAGACACCGTGGGGAGAGAGCGTGGTCGAAATGAATAGAGGGATAAAACAGGGCTCCATCGAGTCGCCGTCCTTCTTTGGCCACATCACCGAGGTATGCTTGGCACTGGCAGTGAACACCGAGGCATGGAAGGCACACCAGAGGGTCCTTGAGGGCAAGGATGAAGAGGAAATGCTGTTTGTTGATGATGGCCTTCTATGGTGTCGAACATGTAAAGGAATCGAAGCCAGAGTCCATGCATTAATTGCCGAGCTCAAGAAGTTTGGACTCAACCTGAACCCTTCTAAATGCCACTTGTATGTGAAGGGCGTCGAAGACGGTGACTGTGTCTGGATTCAAGGGGTCAGGGTTTCTGCAGCAGCTTCCATGGAGATCATGGGCATCAAGATGTATGTAGGAATCAGCATCTACGAACTGGTGGCCCCCCTCGTGGCAAGAGCCAGGACCAAGTTTTGGGAGTTCAAACACATTTTCAGATGCCGATCAGGGATGAAGGCCAGGGTCAAAGTGATGGAGAGGGTTGTAGGGTCGACGGCATTGTGGTGCCTGGCAAGCTTTATGCCCGACGTGGCTGCAATGTCCCTGCTGAACTCCACCCAACTGCAGCTCATGGTGTGGTTACTACGCTTTGCAAAACGGCCTGAAGAACCCTGGGATGCTTACCGACAAAGGGCCTTTCGAGGGGCTAGAGCGGCACTACACAGCTCAGGCGTGGAGCGCTGGTCCACGACATGGCTTCGCCGCTACTGGTCTTACGCAGGCCACAGGGTCAGGGGCATGCTCGCCACAAGTCCGGTAATTAGTTGCCTGTACGAAGACTTCAGAACGGGACCTTGGTGGGAGTGTGAGAAGAAGAAGAAGAAGGGAGGTTACAAACATCACCAGCGCTACCCGAGACTTTCCAACATGGAGAAAGCCATGGACAAAATCACGGGTGGACCCTGGCGCGAGAAAGCACACGACCGAAAGCAATGGAAAACTTTGGAGAACCAGTGGGTGAAACGCATGGACCTGCCGTGGGCCTCCGGGCGACAACACTCGATCAAAGATCACACGGTTTGAGTGAGGGAAGGACAGTGTCAGGTCGTTTGTATAGGGTGAGCATCGCCTTGGTCTACAGGAGCTGCCTTGTGAAAGTGGTACCGCCGCCTGATGGCTCAGCTGCCCGTTGACCGAGTCGACTAGCCGCGATGACCTCCATGCTTTACCTCCATATCCTGGTGCTGGCCTGCCTTGATGGCTGCCGCGGTGGGAATCCCTTAGGGATGATGCTCATCGGCACCACTCTTCGTGATGTCATAGGGTTGGAAGGCACTCTTTCAGAAGCTGCCTCAAGTACAGATCGACCCACAGGTTTCTGGACCAATTCGAGGAGAGAGGGCGACCACACGCCAGGGTCTTTGAGGACGGACTCTCCCCTGCATGCACACCATGAATTCAGTGTACCTCGACCTCATGCCACCTCCGAGCCCCAAGATGCTGCTGCAGAATACGATCCGGCCGAAGATCACGCAGATCGGCGGGAGCAGCACCCCCTTGTGGACCCCCATGGTGCGATTCACCGCAAGACCTACTACCCGATCAGGAACTACCACACCGGGGATGCAGCAGGCCGCAGAACGGGCACGGAAACTTCGCCGACGACATGCGAAGGTGATGAAGGCTCCTTACTGAGCTGGACAGCAACTGTGCTGGCGGCAGGGCTGTTCCCTTCTCCGGCCCTCGCTTTCGACAGCCCCTTCCCACCTGGACAGACTCCCGCGTATTACGACATCATTGTGGACAACCTCCTGCACCTGCAGGATCGCGGACGACCCCTCCGAGACATCCTGGAGACGATCCAAACCATGGTAGCTCAATACGGGGACGATCGCTTTGAGCAAGAGAACGAGCTCCTCATCAACGGCCTCCTGCATGCACTCCACGAGAACATCCGGTCCGCGGCCGGCCAGCAGGACGTAATAACGGTTAGACTGGGGGTGCCGAATATGGATGAAGTGGAGCACACGGCCAAACAAGCAATCCGAGCCATCCGACATCGGTGGCTATGGAAAATTTGCCCGGAGGCAATGAAGAACCAGTACATGGAGGGCCAGCTCAACAACCACGGGATCCGTCCAGCAGTTGTCCCGCCGGAGCGGTACTGGGAGGAAGAGCAAGAGCGAAGACAATTGAGCAGGTCAAGGACCCCACAGCGCCGACACCGCCGAGGACAGGACCGACCGGAAGCCGAGGCGGACGACACGGCCCTAGTGCAGAAAAGAAAGGCCGAGGCCACCGCGGACACAACAGAGTCAAGCAGGCGCCGGAGAACATCAGCGTGGAAAGACAAGATTGTCCGGGAATTCAAGCTCATGGGGGATGACAGAACTCGGGCAAGGGCTTATCGCAACCTACTAGGGCACCTGGCAGGACACCACGGAAGGGAAGCCGCGGACTATGGCGAGGGTATGTTGGGCATGGTCTGGGAAGGATGGAGCAGTGTACCCTGCCCAAACACACGCCTGAGCTACCCGACTTGGATACCTGGGTGGCCAACACGGCGGAGGACCTCTTTTCGATGTGGACTGCAAGTAGACCGCCCACGGGGACTCCGCAAGTAGGGGCCAGCCACACCATCACACCAAACACCGTGGAAACGAGAGCGACCAGCTCATCTATGACACCGCCGTCTGTTCGCCTCGATCCACCTTCGGAAGTACCCTTTGGGATCTTCCACGCGGCCCATGTCTGGCCCGACGGCACTTGGAGTACCCGCAACGAACTAATCCGCATGGGAAGGCGGGACCTGCTGTACGAGGACTACGAGGACGAGGACGCCGCCACAGGCAACCCACCCACCGCCGAGGTGCCTGAAGGATCCCCACCAGAGGATGCCGACCTGGATGACAGCTCCCTCATGCAAACTGGCTCTCGAGTGCGCCCGTGCTGGGACCTTGGAAACCCTGCAAGTGTGGATGGACCACGGGGTCGACGAGGTCGCCCTCCTCGATATGGTCACTGGCCTGGCAAGCAGGAGAGGGTTGACGAACTATATGGAGTGGATCAAAAGGCCCCTGAACACCATCCGGATCTCCTGTGAAGAAACCCGACCGGGCAGAGTTCAGAACCAGAACCTCATGAACCCGATGACGTGGCAATGGGTGCTCGATGTGGAAGGGGCACTTTGGGACTTCTACCACAACCGCAATAGGGATGAGGCGCCCAACTTGCCGCTCGCAGAGCCAGAGACCGACCACGTGCACCTGATGGACCGAGGACGACATGGAGACGGGAGCTTCAGGAGGAGGAGAACGGACAGGGAGCGGCGAACACCCAGGGGGGCGCGACACCACCAGGAAGTGGTGACTCACTCGGTCCGGCACCTCCTGCCCCGAGAAGACCGCGGACGACGAGGAGATGGAGATGGCGACAGAACGGCACGAAATCCCTCCAGGCTGCCAAGAAGGGAAGGGCACTGCAGAGATGCCCAACCTGAGAGAATGAGTAGGCCATCGTCGGTGACAGGACTGTCGACCTCGGGAGCCGGCAGCTCCACGGATAGGCCGGGAAGGCCGCCAAGCCTGGTTGCCCCAATGACAAGGGAACAGGCGTGTGACCTCTGGCGGTTCATGTTGGGTGTGGACCGGTCGGCCTGGCCGAGAGGGGACACTGTCATCGGTGCTGGGCATGCGTTCCTACCCACAGCCACACAGGACCTCATCCTTGACCACTTCCGCCGTATGAGTGACTACAACAGGCTGTTGCTCACCACCACATTCGTGGAAATGTTGCGCTACGTGATGGCCGAAGTGAGCAACCTGATGCATCAAGGGACTTTGACAGGGAGGTTGGAGGAGGGCGAGGTGGTTGAGGTCACCCTGGACCCAAGCGATGAAGAGCCCGACCCGGAGCACGACGGCAGTACCCTGATGCAACGCTACATCCGGAATGGGCCGGCAGCAGCCAACGAGGAGAGGTGGGTGAGAGCAGTCATGAGACTGCAGAAAGAGCTCGGAAGCCAGCCAAAAGTCATTCGCAACGCGAACATCCGCAGGGTCAGACAAGCCCTCCCAGCATGTGAGCCTTGGAGCGAGCCAGAAGGGAGAAGGGAGCAACTGAGGGCGCTACTGGTGGCCATGACTGCTGAGGACGCCGGTGAAGGAACTGCGGACAACATGTGGTTGGCTAGCTGGTCGAACGAGTTGGAGCACTTCCTACCTGGCACGGCCTTTAACCTCGGTGTTCTTCCTGCAAGTGAGCCGGTTGCGGTGGAATCCGACAGTGGACCTACCATCATTGAGGAGGGGCATCGCGAAGTGGAGGTCACCCAACCCGATGCGGTGCTGGACGACCCGACAAATGAGCAGGAGGCCCTTCGCGAGCAGGAGTGCATGCTCTTGCAACAGCAAGCGGCGGACTTTCAGCGATGGGAACGTGACCTTCTTCGCCGGGAGTTGGCAAAGAAGGAGAGCCCGGCCAAGAAGGCTCGGACTTGCTGTCGTGGAAGTGGAGGCCGCCTCCGGAAGTGGGGACAGACCGCGTACCACTCAGAGACTGTCCCTTATGGTTCCTGAGGACGGTGAGGCCTTGAAGCTCACGATTACGGCCAGAATGGAGCCTGCACCTGAGGAAGTGAGCACTGTGGATGCCAATGGTGGGGAAGGCACGGCTACCAGTGTCCGGGGAGAGTGCAACACACTGCCGAATGCGCTGCAGCTCATGGAGTTCGAGGACTTTGAGCAGCTGTACCGCGAGTGGAAAGCCGGGCGGTTTAGTACGGAACAGGTTGCAGCAGCACATGGACAAGACGTGGCGGAGCTTCTGGTGACACATGACCTCGTGGAGAACATGGATGATGACACCGAAGCCCTTCTACGACCGCCTGACGATGCTGTTGTGGGAGAACCTGGGGCTCTGATGGTGGGACAAGGTAGTGTGGAGTCCACGGGTCTGACGAATGCTACCACCGTGATGCTACCTGCAGGGCAAGGCATGAGTCTCCCGGCCACAGCTGATCAGGGGCTTGCACCAGGCGAACATCCGGACTCGACAGGGCTGTTTGGCACGGAAGGGAACGAGGGTGAGCACAAGTGAATCAGGGTCGAGACTCCGCCTTCCGCAATGCGGATTCCGCCGACCTTAACTGCTAGGAGGAAAAAGGCGTTCAAAAAAAAAAAACCTAAACCCTAAACCCTAAACCAGGTATATTATTCCTTACTTAAGGGATATTGGAGTCTCTAGGAACCCTGGAACACTTGAGCCCCGAAGCCATGGCCCTCGTCCGGGAACCGTGCTTAGGAGCTTAGGGTGCACGGGATGATTAGGGACCCCGAAAAGCACATAAGCATAAGCATGCTATGGGGATATCCCTACCTTAGTGGGCTTCTTTATCAGGGGGTTTATATGGGATTTCCCTAACCATATTTTTGCTTATGTGCTTTTTGGGGGCCCTAGATTAGGGTTTAGGGCAACCCCAAGTTGGTCAGGCGCCACGCGAACCTTCCTGCCGGACCGCGGTGGGAGGGGCTCTTGGTCCCCTTCGCGATTCTAGCGTTTATGACTTCTATCAGTTCGGGCTTCCATCAGAGTGCCGCAGAGTTCTATAAGTTAGTGCAGGGTTTCATTGAGCGTTCGATGAGTTAGTGTCTCTGTGAGGGCTTACGACGGGTTCACGCTTTGAGCGTTTGGAACCTCTTGTGTCTGACATTCAACCCTAAACCTTATAAGTCCAAAGCCCTAATAAGCCCTGAACCCTGTGGAAAAGGATGGTCTAGTTTTTGGACTTTGGGTCGGCGACATGCTTGCAGGCATTGGGATTTAATCTTGAGTGCTCTGAGTGTTGGAAGGGGCATAAACTGACGTCTTACTTGATAGCCCTTGAACCCTAAACCCTTGAATTATCAGCATTTGGTCAAAGTGGCGCCTTTCGAGCCCGTCTTGTCTCACCAGATCTATCCAAACGCTCAAGGTTGAGCCTTGTTTCGATTTGCTTTTTTACGTTATAAAGGGCAGTCCAATGCAGTAACTGTTGAACGCTAAGCCTGTCCCTGTACCCCTGATCTCAGTGATGATGTGATCGCCCGGGGTGAGGAGGGGGAGACCATGGATGCCGATGGCAATGCAGAGCGCACGCTGGAGGTGCACGGCTGTCGCATGATTGTGTAGCGTGTAGCGGGCATCAACTATTTCAAGGACATTTCAGATGCTTGGGCAGTCAAAGAACAGGCTAATCTTAGGCTAGTGTCCAACAGTGACTTTTGTTGGCTTGCGTCCGAAGCCGTAGACGCGAAGCCGAAACCCTAGGCTGCTGGGGTGCGACTGCCCAAGTCTTGCAACCAGGCTGGGCAGATGAGCCAAACCGGCATGACCGACCAGGCTCAGATGTTTGCGGCTCCGTCCCCGGATAAAATAGAGTTGTGTGTATGTAGCGCGCCATCCCAGACAGAAGCACTCTACGTTCATTCGACAAAGAAAGCACGCAACAGACGCCCTAAGCCTTAAACATCCTCAACTTCAAAACCCGAATTCATAAGCCTTAGCCTAAAACCTTGGACACTTGGCCGTCAACTTGGCAGCTCTAAACCCGCAACCCTGAGAAACTCCAAGCCTCAAGCCTGAAGCTCTCAATCCCTGAACCTTCCAAGCTTTAGAGTCGGATCAACACGGAGAAATGGAGAGTTGCGGCAACCCTGAAGATGTCTTCTGAAGAAGATGAGCAACATTCCGAAGAGTCAACACTAAGCTGTGGAAGCTGCTGTGATCGGAAAACTTTTGTTTTAGCCTTTTTAACACTTAAATCACCGCGACTGAAACTTTGGAGGCCCACCAAAAAACGCTCGCCGCCGACGAGCGCCGCAAGCGCCAGGCGGACCGGGACGAGAAGTGACCTGGTTTGCAAAGAGCTTGAGGGGTTTCGGGTTCAGGGTTTAGGGAGCAGAAGGGGCTGTAGGCAGTCTGGTTTGGGGAGTTTTACACGGGTTTGAAAGGCCTTTAATTACGAGGTTTTCACATGACGTGCTTTCGTTTATCAAGTCATGGGGTTTATGGGGCGTAACGGGATGGCGAAACCTCTGATTAGCACAAGTACACCCGGCTGCTTGTACTAAGGATTTCAGTTTAGGGGCTCAGTGTCTGAAACTTCCTTAAAAATGTTTTTTTCGGGGCTGCAGGGTTGAGGCGCAGGCTTTGGTGTTAACGGTGCAAGTTAAGGCAGGTTTCGAAGGTCTTGGGCCTTCGCTTTTCTCAAGAACACCTTTACCAAGTTGAAGCTAGTTCGGGGCATTTTGGGGTCTAGGTGTTTCTGGCCGCTTTTTGCTTGAGGGTTCTAGGCTTTTGGGGGCGGTTGGATGTTGCATGTGTCAGGCTAGTTATATGATTATAATTATATATGGGTGGTTGTCAGAATTAGGGTCCCTTTTTGGGTACCTATTATAATACGGCACCTACTATTTAGAGTACCGAAACAGGGACCCTAATTCGACAACCGCCCATATGCCTTATGGTATGAATTTCTTGGACCTCCGGGTTTGGAGGCTTGTCGGGTTGGGGACTTGAGAACCCAACCCGGGCTCCTCAACCTTGCGTTTGCTAACAATGTTACACCCCCCTCTTACAGGAACGGCCCCAGCTAATCTGCAAAAGCCACAATGCCCCGACCCCGAGTGTATATAGATTCCTGAAAAGCCACCGACCCAGGTTGAAGAGAGAAGACGAGAAGAAAGGCGGGCTTTGGGGTTAAGGGATCCCCCAAAACAGTGCTTGAGTTCCGAGTGCTCCACGTGGAACGCTTCAGTCTTTCCGTTGGCCCCCTGATCACCGATTTGCTTACACCCTGAACCCCGAAACCCTATAAGCCCCAAACCCTAACGTGTTTGGGAGCCCTTTCCCGCGATGTTCTTGAAGTGGTTTCACCCAGTTGACCCGTGACCGCATGCCCCACCTGCAAAAAAAACTGCAACGCTGCGCAGGCAGCCTCTTGAGCAAGGCGATCCCCGCCTCCACTGCCACTACCGCCCGCCACCGCCACCCCTCGTGTGGCCGTTGCGGTTGTGGTGGCGACCGGTGCAGCCGGTGCAGATGTGCCTCTTCGGAGTCGACTGGACTTGGGCTGCCGCCGATGGTCATTTCCGATCTTTAAGACAGAGGACGAGGCAGAAGCTCCGGGGATCGTGGAGACGCTCGAGCCGGATTTAGCGGAGAGGGATGCTGGCGAGCTCCTCGCCACGGGGCCAGCGACTCGGGCTAGAAGCCCTTGTAGGTATCGTAGCTCCGCTTCTTTAGTTGTATCCCTCCAGATCCTTTGTGGAATTGTGCATTTTGGGAATCCTCATACGGCCCTTGACCTAAGGAAAACCTCTCGAATTCGTACCGATTTCTTATTGAATTCTAGGAGCCCCCTCGTGGAGCGCCTTATATAGTTAGTTATACATTAGGGACCAGGTGCCTATGATAATGATATACTGCCCCATATACAAGCCTACAAAAGTACTATTGGAAACCACGCCCTAAGCCTTAAATAGGAAAACTCAGTAGAGCAGTTCAGTCACGGGTTTAGGGTCCTGGACATCTTCTTGAATTTTGAGCCCCCTCATAGAGCCCTTTGCTCAAGGAAACCCTTATGATCTAAGCCTTCTTATAGATCTCCCCTTCATAGAGTCCTGAACTTAAGGAAGCCGTTTAGAAGTTTAGATCACATTTGAGTTATAGGAGCCCCTCATGAAGCCCTTAACTCGCGGGAGAGTGACAGGCAAGATGGCCCAGCTCAGCGGCAAGAACCCGAATCTCGCAGAGCTCGAGAGGAGACTTCGTTAGGGTTTTAAAGGGTTGAGGATTTTAGGAGTCAGTTTAGGAGTCAGGGTTTCGGATTTAAAGCTGTGGTTAAGAGTCGAGAGTTTAGGAGTTAGGGTGGTATTAAGGTTTAGGGTTCAAGGTTGGGGTCGAGGTGGTGGCCTCTTCGGGCGCTTGCGCGGTCGAAGGGTGAAGTCTTGACGCGGTTGATATCCCCAAGGCCCTCGCCGTAGGCCTTTGAGAGCCTCAGAAGCTACGAGCCATCCGTCTTCATAAGCCCACAACCCATAAATCCCGCATCCCATCGTATGGCATCTCAAAGACAAGCCTTAAGTTCAAAAGGTGAAGCCGGCTCCTTGTTTAGGAACTCGCTGAAGCTAGCGAATGCAATATGTTTACTCTGTACCCCGTGCTATGGTAGCTCAACAAACTGAATGATTCCTACGTAAGAACGCATACCCCATAACAAGCCCACATATGCAGCAGCAATGTGCAAAACCCGAATACGACTCTGAGAACCCTCTAACCCTAAAGTTAGATGTAAAGTTAAGCCCGAAAATCTAAGCCCTTGACCCTAACCCTACATTAACCCCCCAACATCTACCGGACCTGTATAAGGCAATCATATAGTAGCCTGAAAGTTGCCTAAACTACCGAAACCTTAAGCCAGAAACCCCCAAACCCTAAACCCCTAACCCCTAAACCTCTTGTGCGAGTGTGAGCGTCGAAACCTCTGAACTCCTAAAACCCCCCACCCTAATCAGGTTCCTACATTAAGCCCTTTTGCCAGGATCGCGCACTGGAGAGCGGCCGACGAAGCGAAGAAGCAGATGCTCGAGGATGGTTCCAAAGGGCATGTTTAGGGTTTAGAGATTAGGGTTTAGGGTTTAGGGTTAAGGTTTGAGGGATGTTTTCGTGCAGCCAAAGCTCGTGCTGAAAAGGGGTTGTCTTCGGTAAGGTTAGGGTTCAGGGTTTGTAGTTTAGGGCAGTTGTTCTGTGCGCGGTTCTTACGGGGTTTTGTGGGGGCTTGGTTGGTGTCGGTTTTGCCCGGTTTTGTGCAACGGGCTTCCTATTATAGGTATACTTAGGTAGACATATAAGTACTGGTAGAGGTGGTACAGCGTTTCTCGGAGAGCTCAGCACCCTTCAACGAAGGACGACTTGCAACATATGCATATAGGGCTGCTCATGAAGATTCGGATGGTTTCAGGACTATCGGCCTCGCTGGGTCTGGTGATCAACTGTTATCGCCGAAGGGGCTACTTTGGCCAGGTAATTAGGAGCCGAGGGTTTTACTACTCGTATTCACTCAGAATTATCCCCTGTCTCGCTATAGCGTAAGACCACCCAAGACCTTTTCTAATGATCCAGGGCCCTGTATTCGGGACTTGTTCCTAAGTATTAAGATGGGAGAGTGCCTTGTTTCGTGTAGTGTAGTTTCCAGCGTTTATTCATGGAGGGATCAGAAAGCCATCATACACAAGTCCTGAAGCCTAGCCCCTCAGAAGAGCAACGTTGCCTGCGCAATGTGTCTTTAGCTGTGTTTTTCCTGCTCCTTGCTCAGGTTGTGGAGTTATCCATGGTGTAACCCTAAGAGCGACAATAAATGCCACGGTGCTTCAGGACGCTCGGACTAAACGAGAGTTGGCACGAGAGCAGGCGCTGCGGGACATGCTCCCAGACTCTACGTGCGAAAGGGTTTAGGGCCTAGGGGCTTGAGGGGACGGTTAAGGTCAATTTACACGTGAGGTTGGGGGTTAAGGAGCTTACCAGCTAGGGATCGGCCGTAGCCCCAAGCCCGGAAACATGTTAGATTTGTTCATGTGGACACGGCGGTCTGATTCCGGCCATCATGCGAGTCGCGGTTCAGTTCGGCTCTGTTTGGGTTTATTGCTCTCACTGCCTCCCTCTCTTTGCCCGTTCACACCTGCCCTTGTTTGAGGTCTCCTACTCCTCGCCTAGGAGCTTAGCAGTCCGTCTATGCTGCCAGTAAGTATAATTACCACGTATCGTAGTCATGTTGCACGGAAAGTCGTGAGCGACCAACGCAGAAGCCTAAACCCTAAACACTAAGCCCCTATGTGGAGCCTTGTCTGCCTGGTGCGACTGTGTGCGTCCAAGGCGCACAAAAAAAAACCACCAGACCTCGTCTGGCAGGGTCCGAGCTGCGAGAGCATAAACGCTAAACCCCAAACTAGGCCATCATTTACTTGTCGAGCTGGAGCACGGGTTGCTTCGTGTTGAAATCTCGACCTCAGCAATAGAAGCCCCTTGGACCCTACATGCCCAAACCCTTGAAATCCTCCGCCATGAACCCTGAACCTACCAGACAGACATACTCCTTCAAACTAGACCAGGAGAGAGTGCTTGCAGCTGCGGAGTTGCAGGATGCTAGCTGCTAGCTTGCCATACCTTCAACCCCGATGAGGCCGCTGTTAAGCCCCGTACTAAGCCCGATATAGCACTTGTGTAAGCCCGAACTAAGCCCGTGCGGCCCGTCACGGGACCACCCAAGGCATGAGACAGCCGCGAAGCGCGACGAGCTCTGGAACCGACTCGAGGTGATCTATTCTAGAATCTCTTTGTTCCTTGTCTTTTTGGGCTTTCTCTTGGGCTTGTTTGAAAAAGGGTTTGCCTAAACCAAGAAGCCCTGAACCCGGACTCTTTAAGTATTCGTGAGAACCCGAAGCCGAGGTCCCAGTGCCGGGTTGGAATGATGTGTCAGGGGCACACACCTGTGGCCTACGGCATGTTGTGTGTGCGTGTGTCTCTCTGTGTGTGTATAAGAACTCGAAACTCCAAAACTCCAAATCTTAGTCCCTGAACTCCGAGCACGCCATGTCGTCTCATTGACTCCAATGAGTCTAAGAGGGTCCGTGTCGATGGAGCACGCAGCCCCCCAAACCTTGAACCCTAAGCCCTCGTTGCACCTTCGAAGGCGACCCGGACGCAGAGGGAAGCAGAGCGGCAGCAGAACCGCCAGAAGGCCCCTGGGGCATGAACATGTATGGGTATTGTTTATGAGCTTGGAGCCGTAGGGTTTGGGCTTACAGGCTCAGGGTTCTTGGCTCCAAGTATGACGCTCAGACTCTTGACCTGAAAGTCGGTATTACTTTTTTTGCGTTGATCTTGGAGCCTTTGGGCAACGAGGGCCAGCGAAAATAGTACCACAGCGGATACACTTCCATTTAGGGAGATCGTGGAAAAGCCGACGTTATGGCTGAGTGCGGGGGGGGCAGGTAGAGTGTTGCGGCTTCTGCTCGATCTTGCTGTTTCGTCGGCGCGGGGTTCTGGAAATGCTGTTGGGGCTTGAGTATGCTGGAAAGGCATATTCGCTGTATGAGACCTCAAATGTCATAACTAGTTGCAATGGTCAGGCAGTCATCGAGCACATCAAGAACATGCCGGTGGGTGGTGGTCTGCCCAACGTCCTCGTGTACTGAGTGCCTACGTACCAACGAGTTTGCAGGAGACTTGGACCTCCGCTTGCTCGTATTTGAGCCTGAACAGTGATCCCTATAATTCCTTAGGGTTCCTGCTATTGTAAATCTACTATGGCATACCCCAAAGCCCTGATAAGTTTTGACCCAGAAACTTGAGCCAGTTTGCCGTTTTAGTAATGTACCGACATGAGACCTTCAACCCGAGACTGCAAAACCCAAAATACTAAACCCTCAACCCGAACCTCTAAATCCGCCCTAGACCCTCAACCCGACGCTCTGAACTCAAACCAAGCACGAGGTGAGGTCTGAGGCTCGCAGAGATGCAAAGCTCTGGCCGAGAATCGAGTCGAAATTGCGAACAGGATTTCACTGAGCCAGTCGGAGTTACGAACATGTATATGTGCATACGTCTGCATATATACATATATATATATATATATATATATATGCATATATATATATATGTATATATATATATATATATATATATATATACATGTGTGCGTGTATGTGTGTATGTATGCATGTATGTATGTATGTATGTATATGCATATAGGCATATGCAAACACACTCTTCACTAGTACATACATACATACATACATACGTACATACATACGTGCATACATACATACATACATACGTACATATACATATACCTGCACATATACATATGCATATACATTTACACATGTATAAACGTATGCATATATGTATATGCAAATGCATCCTTAGATGCATCTGCATCTGTATATGTATATGTAAAGGTGTATGTATATGTCCATGTAAAGATAGTTAGATATGCATACGCTTATATCTACATATACACACAGTCATGTATGCAAGCAGATAAATAGTATCTAGCAGTGGCTTCTTTGCGCTTAGGCCTTGAAGGTTGGCTGGGTTCCTCCTCTAGACTCTAGTTCAGCTGTGGTATGACCAGCCATATTTGGCGTACGGTCTCGGGCTGCAGATGCAGGTTTTGGAGGCTTTCCGTTTGAACTCAGTGTCTAGCAGTAATCCAGCTGTGCATGTTTTGTGCTGGCGTTCTGCAGAAAGCTGGATGTTTTGGTCTTGCTAACGAAAACATTTCAACGACTTTAGACTTTAAAGGACCGACCTGGCTATTCTCAGAAGCTGCCGGGAATGGTGGTGATATCCGGTGACCGAAGTTGGCCAGAGCTTTTGTAATCCACTTGGTTTCACCTTTTCACTGACCCCCTTACCGCATGACGCATTCAGCACTGCCGGAAGAAATTGCATTGTTGTTGCTTGCTCCAGGCAAAAAAGGCAAAGAAACCGTTCCAGCCCGGCCACGATTTCGTGTATTTCATTCTCAAATGTGAGGTCGAAATTTGGAAGGCGGGCGCACACCTCGCAGCCCCTGGCAGGTTAAAGTCCACGCTGAAAAGAGAGCTTTCTGAACTTCGCCTAGGATGGCAACCTCATTGCGCTGGTCAGAGATGCGGAATCGCGGTGGTCCTAGCCTGGCGGGAGTGAACAGGCTCCCGAAACTGCCCCAAACCCCAAACCCAAAGCCCTAAAACCTATACCGAAATCATTTCCGTCTTCTTGCTGTGCGACGGACAAGGTTCAGGGACCTGGCTGCGCTGCGAAAGCTAGCGGCGCGGCAGGCGACCTGTCATGGAACTCCTTGATGTGTTAGAACTTCAACCCTAAAAGGATACTTCAAAAGATCCCTCAAGGGATCCCTTAAAGGATCCCTGAAAGGATTCTTTCAAGGATCCTTTAAAGGGGATGGGCCGACAAGACGTGGGCGATTTTTGACCTGATCCGCAGGCCACCGCGAAGGCGAAGGGCCAGGTGACCTGCAGAGCTGTCCGAGCCTCAGCTGCTGCCTTAATACAAGGGCCCCCAAATAGTTACCAACATTATTCTGGGGTTCCTTATTACAATTATAGTGTAAAATTCTCAAAGCCTTGTTCGAATTATCAAGGCCCCTATGTTGCCTTCGTGGATGAATCTAACACTGCTCGCAGCTCTTTGAAGATCAGTATCGACTGCCTGTGCGGAGCGTGCCAACATTGGCATCAAGCGATGCATGAATGCTGGCACTCTGCCTTCCTGGTCGCTCTGCTGATCATCGTTTTCGCAGGACAGGAAGTAATTTATTTTCATTGTGCTTCGGATTCCTGCCGATTCAACCCAGAGACCCCAATATCCCTTAAATTATAGTAGGGATCCCTAATATGATTTAAGGGATATCCCAAGCAGGACGACCAACTTGGACGTTCTGAACCAACCCCTTTCGGAGACGAGCTGTGGAGACCTCAGATCCGTGCTGCAGTGGTTGCTGTGTCTGGGCCGTAGTATAGCGGCCTAAATATAATTACCAATGCTACAGTTATCATTACTTGTATCATCTTGTAGCCGTTATTAAAGTATTTATGGCCTTGCTTACTAAGTTCCCTGATGGGGGTTTCCGAGATCAGGGGTACCTTATTCTGGTGTCCTCATAGTAAGGATCCCTATTTTTGGAAACTCCCACATAGGGGCCTAAATAATTACCAATACTATTTTGGGGGTTCCTTAGTAGATTTAGAGTATAATGGGCCCCAAAGCCCTATTCTTATTTGTTTAAGGCCCCTGTGGTAAGCAGGTGCCGAGCATGGAGCTTCTACCAATCCCTTCAAGGCATCAACTCTGCACTGGGCCGCCTCAAAGCCCTGAGCGAACCCAAACTACCTAAACCTTCAACCCTTTGAAGCGAATCTGGGGCCCCTCCAACTGAACAAGGAAAGCCTTCACGACTTAAGGCGAGTCTGGGCTGCTCCAAATCGACAAGGATTGCGCCCCCCCCCAATCCTTTACGACTTGAGGCGGCCTCCAACTTGGACAACAACCTTCCAAAAAAAGGGGGCCGGACATTCTCTCGGACAGGGCCCCGGCTCCAAAATCCGTGACAAACTGACGCCGCACAATTCAGGGAACACCTCCTAACGTAGCCCAACGCTTGCACGTTTCCAAGTGGACCTGGAGCTCTTCCGCTGATCGAAATATCAATGACAGGGCCCTTGGGCCAAGAACTTACTCCAGTGCAAACCTTAATCGTTGCTTGGACAGGGGCTGGAGCCCACAGATAATCAACGACAAGGCCCTTCGGCCAGAACGTACCCCAACACAAGCGTTAAACAAATTTATGTGCTTGGACAAGGATGGGCGTCTTCCAATCAGTCACGACTTGAGGCGAGCCCAAGTGGAAAGAGGTGCACGGATTTGGGCATCCAATCCTTCACGGTTTCATGCGAGTCCAGTAGCCCAGCGCTTAAATAGTGTCCAAGTGGGCCTCCACAGATCGAAATATCAATTTCTGGGCCCTTCGGCCCAGGACGCACCCCCACACAAATCCTAAAGGCCCTAAATGTTGCTTGGACAGGTGCTTGGACAGGATTTGGTACCCGCCAAATTTGCTTCTCGGCCCATCCATACCTGCAAAATCAACTTTGCTTGCTGGTGTTGGCTTAGATTTTGGCTGGCTCCGGTTTGGCTCGCTGTGAGTTGTGTATCGGTGGTCTTGGGGTGGGCATGTCTTTACACTACAACGCGTTTATCAGTGTGCGACCTATGGAGCACACCATACACCCTAAAGACTAAATTTCATTCAAGCTCTTTAGACCCTAAACCCCTCAACTCTACGCCCTTTACACCCTAAGCCACTAAACCCCTAAACCCGAAACCCTTAAATCGAAGCCTTACATTCTAAACCCTGAACCCTGAGCTGCAGTGAGGCATCTCGCTGCTTGCCGCCGCGGCCCTCCCAGGCTGCCAGGGCTCCTTTAAGGGTTTTAGGTTAGGGTTTAGGGTTCCTTTAAAGGATTTAGCGGGGTGAGGGGGGGGGGAACTATAAAGTATATACCCTGTACTAGTATAGTACCAAATTGGGGGGCCCACTTTTTGGATCCTTCCGGCGGTGTAGGTATGTTCTGTAAGCGGCCTTGTAAGGGCTACTGTTATAATAAGGTGACCATTAGTAATTGTTTGGGTTATTATTAATTATCTGATAATTTTACCACTACAAGGTTTGGGCTTGAGGTACTAGCAGGGTAACTAAAATCTCGGGTTACCAGACGGGTTCTGTAAGGGCCTACTTTTGCGGGGTTCCTGGAAGGGCTACTAAATCTACTGTGGGGTTTACTTGGGGGGACGTCATAAGCCCAAATCGCTAAGCCCTAATCCTTAAGACCAAACCCTAAACCTCAAATCCTCAAGCGTTAAGCACACTGCAGGTTATGGTGGGCGGACTCCGCTGCCAAGGGCACCAAGCGCGATAGCGAAGGCGGGAGCTTGCGGGAGCCCAGATGCCGGAAGTTGATAATCATAGTATTGGTAGTTAATGTTAGTAGTTATTATACAATCGTCATAGTAATCTCAATTACCATTAGTAGTATTGAAAACAAGAACAACAATAATGACATAATAGCAATAGGAACGAAACAACAACACGAATAACACCAATAAGCATAACAACAATCACCACAACAACAATCTCAACTACAATAACAGTATGAATAACGGTAATGCTATCACAGCACTACAAATATTTGTAGTAACATTAATGGCAATATTAGTAGCAGAAACATGTTCTTCAGTTCTTAGAACCATAATAGTTGTACTAGTCATCAATGAAATAACAAGAACAAGAACAATCATCAGAATACTGTTACTAACACTGGTCGCTTGCTGGACCTAGTCTTACAGCCTGACCAGGCGACGTGATCGACCTCTCGGATAGCTGAGCCAAAGGCTGTGATTTGTTCGCGACGCAGCGTCCAAAAAGACCCCCCGGTTCTTAGTAGGGAATGCAGGAACGGGTTATACTTAAAGGATCACGGGAGTTAGCAACTAGGGTTATAAATATGGTAACATTAGTTTTCACAACCAAAATCTCCATTAAGGTGCTTATGACCTTATGTACTAAGTCCCATGCCCCTCCAAGTAAGGACGACTATAAAGGACTATCATGGGGCCGCCTTCTCGCATT